CATGGCCACACTCTCGACCTTGTTTTTACTCTGGGACTCAACTTACCCTCCTTGGAAGTTAAGGACTTGCCTGTATCTGATCACAAACTTATTATGTACTTCTGTGAAATGCTAACAGCTAACACTGCCAAACTCCAGCCATAGTAAACACGAATTTTAAAGTGCAGCAAAATTCTGTACGCAGTTTAACTAAACTAACAAATCGTTCCCAATTGACTGTGATATAAATAACCTAGTTAATTTATTTAATTCTTCATAGCTATAAAAGAGCTTTTAATCTGCTATTACACAATGGTGAAAGACGCTAGAACAAACTATTTGTCTACTCTTATCACTACCAACAAGCACAATCCTAGATTCCTCTTTAACACTGTTGATCTCTTAGTAAATCCTACTCCTACCTCTGCTTTGGCTGACAGCAACACAGATTGTGAAAAGTTGCTTACTTACTTTATGACAAAGGTGGGAAAAATAAGATCTAGCATTAGCCCTCACCCTGCCTTTCTAGATGTGGACCACCCAGCTCAGGATCATTGGAGCTGCGTCTCCCCAGCTAATTTATTGGAACTCACTGAGACTCCACCAGCCCCTTGGATATTATCCCTACAAAGTTTTTATTTTGAAATCATGGACAGTCTAGGTACCTATTTGCTTTTAATCCTAAACAGCTCACTGCCATCTGGTTGTGTTCCAGATTATTTTAAACGTGCTTGTGTTCAACCAGTCCTAATAAAACCTGGCCTTGATCCCACCAACTTCGACCACTATCGCCCTATCTCTAAACTGCCTGTCATTTCCAAGGTTCTGGAAAAAATTGTTTCTAAGCAGCTCCTTATGTTATGAAGTTATGAAGATGACATTTTTGAAAGATTCCAATCTGGTTTCCGCCCTCATCACAGTACAGAGACTGCTCTCTTAAAAGTTACTAACGACCTGCTGTTGAACGCAGACGCTGGCATGTCTTCAAGTCTGGTGCTGTTAGACTTGTCCGTTGCGTTTGACTCAATTGACCATGGCATCTTGCTAGAGAGACTGAGTCATTGGGTGGGCATCTCTGGCACGGTATTGGACTGGTTTGCCTCGTATTTATCTAACAGGAAGAACTGTGTGTCTATTTTAAATCCACCTTTTCTCCTGTTTATTATGGTGGGCCCCAAGGATCAATTCTCTGACCTATTTTGTTTTCCATTTATATGCTCCCCCTGGGTGACATTATTCGCCGATATGGTATTCCCTTCCATTGCTATGTGAACGATCCTTAGTTATACCTCCCGGTAAAGCCAACTGACCTCAGTGTGCTGCGTTTCCTCCAGGCCCGCCTGACTGACATAAAAGCCTAGATGTCAATAAACTTTCTACAACTCAACTCTAACAAAACAGAAATCTTCGTCCCCAGCACACTACTAATCAGATTATACCCTCTATTGGTCATTTATCTGCCTACATTACGCCTGTTGCCAGAAATCTTGGTGTCCTTTTTGACAACGCATTGCTAAGCTTGTCCAATCATGCTTCTTTCACCTTAATATTGCAATATTGAATATTGCAAAAGAAAACTTAAATGCCAGAGATGCTGAAACTGTTATACATGCTTTTATTTTGTCTCGCCTAGACTGCTGCAACAGTCTGTTCTCAGGTCTAAATAAAAAAACTCTGAACTGCCTACAATTAGTGCAGAACTCAGCTGCTAGATTATTAACCCAAACTAGGAAGTTTGACCATATCACTCCAATTTTATTGTCTTTACACTGGCTCCCTGTCTGTTTTAGGATTGATTTTAAGTTCTTATTGATTACTTTTAAAGCTCTTAATGGCCTGGTTTCAGAATAAATTCGTGACCCCTTAACCCCTTACGAACCTGTACGCAGCCTGAGCTCATCCCTGAGGCCAGGCTGAAATCTAGAGGAGATAGAGCCTTTGCGGGAAGGGCCCCAAGGCTCTGGAATGATCTGCCTGATGACATCAGGATGTCGGAGTCAGTGTCCTCTTTTAAGTCTCTCCTGAAAACGTATTTATTCAGAAAAGTGTTTTCTGATTTTATCTGATAGGCTAGCCCTTTTATTGTTTTACTTTCATTTTAATTTGTGCATGCTATGACTTATTTCATTGGTGTCTTTTAACTATTATGATTTTAATTGATTTTGATCTTTTTTGAAAGCACTTTGTACTCTGTTTGATAAGTGCTCTACAAATGAAGTTATTATTATTATATTAATTAGTAAATAATTTGACCATGAGTCTAGATTGGTTTGTCACAAATACAGATGATGAAACAAACAATGATGAAAAAAGTAATGCCTACACACTGACACTATAGTTACATCTTCATCAGGTCAAAATGTTTCGAAATGGTTGCCACATCCTTATATATAAATACCTCGGACCAAGCACTTTGATTATCTAAGATAAAGTGCTATTTAAATGTACTGCATTACTAGTAATTATTAATTAATCAAATAATTATTATTAAGTAGTAACATCATAGGTACATACAAATATATCAGCGTTTTGAAAAATACAGTTGTAAACTGCATGACAGGATGACAGGAAATTAACATGAAATCAACCTTATACAACTGTATATAACAAGGCATTATCAAAAGCATATCAAAAAGCATTACTGGAAAAATCAAAATAAATGCATCATATTTTTCCTGTAAAGGAATAGTTTGACATTTTTGAGAAATACTTTAAGTTAGATGACAATATTGTAGCCTAGCCTACCACTCTTTTGTCTGTACGGTAGGCTCAATATGAAGCTAGATCCAGTCGGCTGAACTTCGCATAAAGACTAGAGACAGGGGGAAACAAGCTAGCCCGGCACACTTAAAGCTTACTAATTACACATGTAAAAGCTCCCCTTTTACATGTGTAAAAAGCCAGTTAGCTTAGCTGGTGGTAGTTTAGTGCTGGCACGTGGATATTTTAAAAACTTTTGAACAGAGTCAGGCTAGCTGTTTCACCATGTTTCCACTCCTTGTGCTAGGCTAAGTTAGCTGGCCACTGACTGTAGCTTCATATTTACTGTACAGAGATTAGAGAGGTACCAACATTAGAAATGTACGTTGTGGCCGACACTATAAGCAATCAACAAGATGTAATCAACTAAACTGCCAACGAAATTGTTGCTTTGTGACTCTTTTGCATCAACAGTGTGGAGTTTGATGCTGAGTCAGGCTGCGGTTGAGATTGTGGTCTATTTAGCTGGAGAAAGAACAGTATCTTTCTGTGTGTGTGTGTGTGTGTGTGTTTGCATGCACGCATTCATGTATATGTTATGGGTGTTTTTCTGTTGCTCGAGGACTTCCAGCGCCCCCGAGATAATGTGGAATTCATGATAGGAATGCCGCACAAGGGTTCCTTCCTGTCACCTGACTCCATCACTTCCTGTGTTGGGCTGTTGGGCTTACTGCATCTGGAGCTCCAAGGAGAAGGGTGAGGCTGCACCTAGACCACGACTCAGGATCTCACAGTTTTATGTCTCTGAGATGATGAAGGAGCTTTACTGCAGCCCCCCTGGTGGGTTTGAGCCGGTCTAATACAGATTACGACAAAGCTGATTGCCAAACAGAGGAGTCAGGCAAATTCCCAACATTTTAAAAAGATTTGATTGCAAAACGGTTGAAATGCTGCCAACTGACTGCTAATGTTAGTCATTAGAAAATTAACTGGAGCAAATGAATGCAGGATAGGAATTATAAACAAAGATGGATGCAAGAGAAAAGAGAGAAGAAGGGCCCACAAAGTAGAGAAGGGACAGATATAGAAACACAATAAGAAGCAATAAAGCCAAAGAAGGAAGAAAGAAAGAGAGTGGTGATGGCAGAATCCATATGGGGCCTCTTGGTTTGGGCAGCAAGGGGAGACATGCCAGGTAATGGCTTCCAGACACACACACACACACACACGCCCTAATTCAATTTGGAAATCTCATAGACGTATGTGGATGTGTGTGTATATATACCAGAGGCCTTTTCTTTCACATACTCAAGAGGTCTGACTTCCTCTGCCAATTGGGAGTGGGGCTGGCTTGTGTGTGTGTGTGTGTGTGTGTGTGTGTGTGTGTGTGTGTGTGTGCAAGCACTGGGGGTTAATGTATGCTTTCAATCACAGCTCTAGTGGGGGGAAATCAGATCCCTGAGGCCTTGAGGTGGCCCTCAAGATCCACACATACAAACCACACACACACGGTTAATGTGTATCAAGTGCAGTAAATGCGTTTAAATATTGAACTGATTTTCATTTTAGGAATAGTTTGACATTTTGGGAAATACGCTTATTTGTTTTCTTGCCGAGATTTAAAAGAGAAGATCGATAGCACTCTCATGTATGTGGGATAAAGCTACACCCAGCAGCCCGTTCACTTATTAGCACAAACACTGGAATCAAGAGGGAAACAGCTAGCCTGGCTCTGTCCACAGTTAACAACCCCCCACAATGAATTAAGTTTTTTATTTGTTTTAGGTTAATCAAACACACCTGACTGCTTCCTGATTTTGTCTGCAAGGTTAGAAAGCTGTAAATAGATGTTGTGAAAAGGTTAAGGGAGCCGCTACATTAACAAGGAAAGTAAAGTTAAAAAGACAAAAGAAGTGAAAGGAGACAAGGAGGACAAAATAAAAAGAGGAAGACAGGAAGAGATGATTAAACTGAGGAAGGATACGTGTGGAGGAGTGGGAGGGTAAAAAAGGGCAAGATGACTTAACTGGGATACACCGCCTGCTCAGGAATACTCCACCCTCCAACACACACACACACAGAGCAATTTCCCAGTGAGGTATATCGCCCAGCATTCCCCCACTATGTGCTGTCACAGCCCTCCCACTCCTGCAACTCGAGTGTGTGTGTGTGTGTGTGTGTGTGTGTGTGTGCGTGTGTGTGTGTGTGTGTGTGTCACCACTTTTCTCTGACATTCCTGTGCAGAGCGGAGAGGCGGTGAGCTCAGTTGCAGAGAGACAGAACTGCAAATCCAACTCAGAACCTCAATAGGCAGAAGAAGAAGATAAAATTGTCCTTTGTCCTTTTTTCCATCCATCACATCTCACTGTGAGCTTAAAACAGTCCCTTGCAGAACCTCCGTTGCAGTGAGCTTTTCCAAATAGGGAATTCCAATTTCACGTCGGCTGGGAAGTCTTACGTTTTTAACAAGGTAGAAAAGCATCCTCTCGTATCCTCCTGTTCCTCTCCTCTCCATCTCCCTCCCAGGAGGCGGGTTCCAAACTTTGGACTGCCAAACTCCAGAGTTTGGGATTACTTTTGGAGAAGCAAAAAAGGACAAGGGCATCGTGTTGCAACAGCATACAAAGAGGTGAGTTAACGTTCAAAGAAAGTAACTGCATTTATAATTGTTGCTGACATGTCGCTGTTGTTGCTGTGGAGGTTGAATGCGCTTTTTAAAAACTGGTCTGCCAAATGTAAAACTTCAAGCTTCCGAGCCATAAACTTGCTATGATAATGAGAACAACTAAAGCCTGTCTTGCCAGTAATGTTTAAAAAACCTCCACATACTCCTGAGCTCTATTGTTAATGGTGCATAAAAGTGGAGTGTGTTGCACAATCAAATGTAACAGCTGAGGAGAGTTAAAGTCGCTTGTTCTGCTGATCCCCTGCTAGATCTCAGTCGTGCGTCTGAGAACGAGAGAAAGAAAGAAAACAATGCAGGGAGGGGGGGAGTCTAAATCGTCCGCTGCACATCGATCTTGAAGAGATGACGGGATGAGAGAGAAAAGGCAGGAAATAGGAAAGAAAAAAGCATGTGCAATGGGGGATGAAGCAGGGGAGAGATGTGGAGATTCATCCCTTCTCTGGTTTAATCGTCAAATAGCAAGGACAGATACTGTGAGAGAACGCCAGTGGTGCACACATGCACAAGCAGATATTAAATTCAAATGTTTCAGGCACATGCTTGAGTAAATGCACGCAGATGTTGCATGCGTGTTTATGCAAAGAAAGGACGTCGGACTAACTCAATCACACACAGGCAAGCACGCACGCGCACTCACAGAAAGAGATTTAAACAAACACATCTTTGTTCCATTGCACTCATCTGTTTAGTTTGCTCTTGGCTCAAATCATAGACTGATCAAATGATTCCCAGTGCCGCAATACGACACACAGACACACAAAGTAGATGCATGTGCAGAAGGACTTACATTCAACATAGAGACAACTCACTACTTCATGAATATTACACACTCATATATAGGCTACAGTTGAAACAGTAGACACACGTCTTTCTCTCAAGTTTCATGCACACACACCCACCGAGTCTATCGTTTTCCGTCACATCTGTGCTTGTGATCACAAAATATGTCAGTTACCAATGTGGATCAGTCTTTTGGATGAGTGCACAATAATTTGTCAACGTTTCTCTCACGTGTCCACATCTTGTCTGTTTAACCCAGACAAAAAGTTGGCTCACTCATGTAGCATTTACATAATTGGTATTTGGCAGACAGTGTGGTTCATAAACTTACACCCGAAAGCTTCCCAGTGCAACCAGTCATTGTTATAGTAGCTGGGAGCTCAAACTTCAAGTGCGCTGTGACAGCTGCTGTGAAAGATGGTTCGGGTGTGTCTTCTTTACTTCCCGTCCTCGGCTGATGAATATCTTTGGTGTGTCCAAAAATACTCCATTTTCACTAGTGCACTGTAATTTTATCATGTCATTTTCTCTGAGGTCCGAAATCTCCCTGTAAAATATGCGTTACCCAGTCGAACAAAATGACAATGATTAATTAGTTGCCAAATTTTTTTTACTATTATTGATTAATATTATTATTTATCATGTAAGCAAAAGTGAGTGGGTGAACAAGGGAGTGACAACCATCCTTCTCTAACCACTGAGCTGTCACTGTCTCCATCTTATTGTGCTTGTATATGTGCTGTATAAGATGATTGGCATTGGCATCCATTTGTCCCCACATTAGAATTCATCACTTAAAGCTGCACTATTTCACATTTTCATGAACAGAAAAGGATCACCGGACTCTGCAGTTCTCCTCAGCTAACATGGAGCGTTTTAGGGCGTACTCACACTAGCCAGGCAGTCCAAGCTCATTTAAGTCCAGTTCGTTTGACTAGTGTGATCGCACTGGGCCTAATTAAATTTCTATTATAATCTAATTCTACGTAACACTTCATCACAAAAAAAACTCCTCAATGCCACACACATGATAAAGTGTGTGTGTGTGTGGGGGGGGGCATAAAGCAGTGTTTTCCTCATTAATTATTCCATATGCATCATGTTGGTGTTGGTGTGTTTCTCTGCAGATCCTGGCTCCTGTAAAGATGGCTGACGTGGTGCAGCCAGACCCCAACAGCCTGCAGATACCCAGTGAGACACACATACAGTTTATTCACATGCTTCATTACCATGGTAGCCTGGTCAAAATGACTCACTTCTGTCTCTTTATCTTTTGGAGAGTGAACACGCTGACCTTTCCTTGCCACTCTCCCACTTGGGAATATTACTTACATCATTTTCCAGTAACATTCCTATCATTCCAGTTCATTACAAATATTCAATCGACATCACTCGCATCTAGAGAGCTTACAATAAGGTGTCTTCTGCATGTGTGACAGTACAACGATGCCTCTTTCCTTGTGATAACAGAGGTTTCCCAAGGCTGTGTATCGCTTCAAGCACAGATTTTTTTGGCTAGTCCGTTCATTTTCCAGTGGAGTACATGTGGCGCTTTTCCAATGCGGAAACCCTTATAATGAGATTTTAACAGTCACCACTTTCTCTTCTCTTCTCCATTAATTCCCAGGTGATAATTTATCAGCACCTTCGTCACCTGCCACAGCTAGAAATGACTGCAGCATCACACCCCTCACACCCTCACCCTCGCCGGTAACTATGCACACACATTCACCACAGACACTCCTACACACCCTTCCCTCTTTCTACTTATTTTCTTAATATAGAGCTCTTAAACACCAGCCTGTACACCCACATCCACTTCTTGCTATTAAGGGGGTTTATACACTTACACTCACAGTTTGAAGTTAAGTGTAGACTTAAAACGAGTGTCCAATAAAGACCACAATCTGAGGTAAAGAAAAATATACACTTTGGCACTAAAGGAGGAGGAAAAAAAGAAAGAGACGTCAGTGGGAAACAGTCTCTAATTTCTACATATTTCCACTTATAGAAACTAGTTTTTACTGAAATGTAAGAAACATTGCTTTAAATGCCACCATAAAGAAATGATAGCACACATTAGCTTGTTCACTTTGTGATATTTGTAGATATTGTAGAGTCACAAATTATGAGAATTTCGTCCTTTCAGTGTTGAACTATTACCAAGACTCTACTGAGGCAGCGGTGCTTTGAGCTAAATGTTAACATGCTCACAAAGATGATGCTAACATGCTGATGTTTAGCGGGTGTAATGTTTTCATGTTCACATCTTAGTTTAACGAGTTAGCATGCTAATATCAGCACTAAACAGCTGAGGATAGTGGATTTTGATCGTATTTAGTCATAAAGCAAAGTACTGGACAAGTCATCCAGTGCTAGACACGAGTGCTCGTAGCAAATTTCATGGCAATTTATCTAGATAGTAATTTAGATATGTCACTAAAAAAACTAAAATATGAGCCTCATGGTGGCGTTAGAGGACACATCAGGGGATCACATGAGCCACAGCTCTACTGTGGCTAATAAAGAGCAGGAAGGTGATGAAAAGGAGGTCAATGAGGAGCTCTTGTGCTTTAAAAACCAGCTTCAACACACACAAATGTCCGTCTCTCTGGGGCCTGATTTCCCATCTTTCTCAGAGGGTGGAGGTCAGACCCAGGATGTCCTGTCCGTTCTCGGTTGTCGTGGCAATAGACTTTGGGACGACCTCCAGTGGCTACGCGTTCAGCTTCACACAGGACTCAGAGGCCATACACATGATGAAGTAAGAGTCTGAGCTTGTTGTCTGTGATCCTATTCTGTTCTATGATTTTCTACCCGTGGCATCTTTTTCCTCCAATCCACGCAGGCGTTGGGAGGGCGGCGACCCTGGAGTGGCCAATCAGAAAAGCCCGACGTGTCTGCTGCTGACACCTGACTTGCGGTTCCACAGTTTTGGGTTTGCAGCACGGGACTTCTACCACGACCTGGACCCAGAGGAATCCCGGCACTGGCTCTACTTTGATAAATTCAAGATGAAGATCCACAGCACAAGTGTAAGAGAGATCAGGAAAATGAGATGGGAAAGGTGGAATAGATGAGTTGTAGTGACAGAAAGTGAATTTTACATGATACAGCCAGATTGAAATGCTCATATTACACATTTAGATCAATGTATTAGTCATGTACAAGTACAAGGTAGCCAGTGAAAACAGTTGTATAAGGTAGTCAGTGACCCTGGAGGAGCTTATTAAAGTCTGAGATAATGACCCCGATGATGTCATAGTGATGTCATCAGGGTTGTCACGGCTTAGACTTGAGACTTAAAGTTTAAGTTATGTGTTCAATTTGAGAGACATGGCCGTCACCAGCCAACACTATCCAGTTGCATTGTGGAAAGTGTACGATCCAGTGTTTTTAGAGCTTGAACCACACCCGGGGTTAAAAAATAACAAATGGGTATTTCGGTCTGTACTGCTTCAATTTTGACCATTCCTTTTTTTTTTAACTCTGTGTCTTGAAAGCCTCATGACTTTGAGAAAGATCAATCCTAAATTGCTGGATTCCCCCTTTAAGGCTTTAAGCATCAGAAAGATGACTTGTTCTTGCAGCATTGTTTCAGCAGTTGCGGCTGTGTTTGCTGCAGGACCTCACCATGGAGACGGAGCTGGAGGCGGTCAACGGTCGGAGGGTCAGGGCCATCGAGGTGTTTGCTCACGCCCTGCACTTCTTCAGGGAACACGCTTTAAAGGTGCACTTTAAAGCCCCAGTTTATGATAGCAGCGTGGTGCCCCATGATGGACACGTTCATACACTGATGCGTGTGATTTTCTCTAGATTTGCTTCGATGGAAGGTCATACCTTAAGCTCGATCTTTAAGCTTTTACCAAAGAAAGTGTTTAATTGATCCTTTTTTTAGGAGGTGAAGGACCAGTCGTCGTCAGTGCTGGAGGGAGAGGAGATCAGATGGGTAATCACCGTCCCCGCTGTGTGGCGACAACCTGCCAAACAGTTCATGAGAGAGGCTGCATACCTGGTAGATACACACGCACACTCACATCCATTCATACATAGAGCGATTGATATGACTGAACGAAGCTACAAACTTAACCAAAAAACCTCTTAATGTTACATTATTTCAACCACCCGTCCTGATACATAATGTCTACATGCACTGTCCACTGAAAGCCATATTTGATCATTTTCTTTTGTTGCTTGATGGGTTGAGAACGTACATTTTTATGTGTATATAGCAGATTTAACTGATTTATGAACTGATTGTGGTGTAATTTTCTTTTTTTTATTACCTTTGCTATTGTTTTTGTGTGTCTTTATCTTTTCTGTACTGCTGTATTACCTAATTTCTACCCAGAGAATCTTTTCTTAAAAGACCCGCTAAAAACCCACAATCTGTTACCAAAAACACATTTTCATTAAGCTTAAAACACGGCTGTTTTTCGTCATACATGAAAAGTTGACGTTTTCCAGATACATGGCTTTGACTATTGTCCAAAGTGAAGTCACCACTGGCTGCAAGTATCTCACTTTAACTACAATACTTCCGCATTGTATGTTGTATTTTGTATTTAATAATCTATTTAAGATAGACACACACAGAGGAAGACGGCACATAGACAGCAGACTGAGTGATTGTGTGTGTTTGTGTGTTTGAGAGACAGAGAGAGGAAGAACAACAGGGAGATGGAAAGAAAGCGTATGAACCATGAGATAAAGACTCATTAATTTTCCCATGGAAGATCACTTACACAAACACACACAAACAAACACACACACATATTTATATATATATACTGTTCTCCCTGTATAGCTTCTCACCAACACATACTGTAGGCTACCTGTCACAATGACTTGTAGGAAGTGTGCGTATATGGACAGGAATGCAGGGGGTCCTATCACAATGCACATCAATGAGATCTCTTATCTGCCCTTCACCCACCGGGGCACATACATAAATACATACTTTCATATGCACATTGACATACATCCACACACACCCTGCGCTGGCTCGAGGCTGTCAGGGCGTGTATGCTTCCTGCTGGTGATGATGTCATCAGAGGTGAACAATGAGGGAGACCGGCGTACAAACACAGGAAGTGGTGTCCAGACCCCCGCCCTGCGCACACACACACTCACGCACACACATCATTCACGCCACTCAACTCTACTCCCAATACAACATGATTAATGCTTATACCAACGCTCCCCTCCTAGTGGCACTTAGCATCGGTATATCACCAAAGCAGAATCTACATGTATGTAGATTTCTGAGAGCAGTTTAATTTCCCAATTCTAGTATGTGTAACTTTCTCAATCTTAATTCTTTCTCGTGTTTAGCTCCCTACGTATCTCATTATAACCAAGATCTTTCCAGGATAAGAAGATTCTGCTTGTAAATGTTTCTGTCTCTCTTCTCTCCTCCAGGCTGGTCTAGTGTCTCCCGACTGCCCAGAGCAGCTCCTCATCGCTCTGGAACCCGAAGCTGCGTCCATTTACTGCCGTAAGCTTCGCCTGCACCAGGTGATTGACCTGAGCTTACAGTCAATCACAAATGGCCTTGACATGGAAGGTACCCGGCCCTTCGACTCCAGCTTCAGACAAGGTATTGAAGAGAGAGAGAGAGAGTGTCTTCTTGTAGATTTTGTCATTAGCATAGGCAAGAAACCACACTTTGTTCCTGGAAATGTTGTTGTTTCATTTCACTTGGGAATTGTGTTTTTTTTGCAAAGGCTGAGCTGTGTTTGTGTGTGTGGAAAAAAGAGGGAGCACTGAGGGTAAAGAGCTGACTACAGATACAGCTTGTGGTTTTGCCTCAAATTACTTTGCAGTTGTGAAATGTGTGTGTGTGTGTGTGTGTGTGTGTGTGTGTGTGTGTGTGTGTGTGTGTGTGTGTGTGTGTGTGTGTGTGTGTGGGATTGTTGTATGACTTTGCAATTGTGTATGTCTGTGTGTGGGATGGGGTGTACACATGTAGAGCTACAAAGTTTTTTTATCAATTGGAAATTGTTCTATATCTTATATGTATTATGTGGAAATATGATTTTTCAGTTCATTCTTGTGAAGTGGGATAAGTTATTTTGGGTTTCTATATTAATAATTAATTAATATAGAATGTTAGGCGAAAGATGAGAGGCTGCGTTACTAAATATCTTGTTCTTTGATAAGAAGTCAAAGGTGCAAACCTATGCACATAAAAACAACAAAGGGGCAAAATGAACTATGACTCCAAGTGTGCAATGGACTTAAAATTCTGTTGTGAGTGCAACTAAATGGGAGCTGAGGCTAAAATACCTAAAATACCTCATACTACATTCAATACTTCAGTCAGTTCACTTTCAGAGTCACAGAGTTCTGTTCACAATTGCATTGACAAAATATTAGCTTTCATTGTTGGGTCTCTGGCCATCCAAATAATGTAAGTTCAATGTTCACCCACTTTTTAGGTCTGTTTTAGTCTCCTCTCTTAAATTAAAGTTGCGGCCAGAAAACCAAAACAATGAGCTGAAAAATGCTAAAACGCTCCATAGAGCTGAGGAGAACTGCAGAGTTTCCTCTCTGTGAGTTTGGGTTACAAGCGACTTCTTTCACATTAGAAATAGTCATTTGACCCAGTATTAAGATAAAAATATTGAATAGTGCAGCTTTAAAAGAAAACCTCAAATGAGAAAAATACCTCCAGATCCAACAAATCCTTTGGCGCTCTATAGTGTGTGGATCAAAAAGCTTAAATGGGTGTGTAACTTTCCAACATTAAAGGACAAAAGACACAATGAAAATATAACTTCTCAACATTAAAGCTGCACTGAAAACATTTGTGTTTACAGAAAAATGCTACTTAAAAGCAGGAAAGGAACAAAGAGTAAATTCAGACTGGCAAAAAGGAGACTGATGCACAACTCAGCGAATGAACATGCCGTGCTAAATCCCCTGCATAGGCCCACTTATACATATGCACTCACTGGCGCGCACACACAAAGAACATCCACACACACACACTAAACACAGGACATTGTAATTGGAACAAGGTGCAATGAGACTATGATCTCACCCCCTCCAGGCCTGTCATTCTCCCTCTCCTTCACTCACATTCATTTTTCTTCCCTTTCCTCCCTGTGTTTCTAGCAGTTGTGCTTCCTCTCCAGCTTTCTCTTGCCAGGTCGTACACTTTGCGAGGACTCTGCAGACACAGACCACCGCACAAATACACATACAGTATTTGCACACACTTGGCATCACGGTGATGGTTTTTACTATCTTTAGCTTTTTCTTCCACCTCATTTCGTCTCCAAAGATAGCACAGGGGAGTCATTAACACACACACATACATTTTCTTTTCTGCTGTTTCAAATAGTTGTAAATGGTTTCCAGACATGTATCTTATTCATCAGCGCCATACTAAGACACACACACACACACACACACACAGACGCACATACATTACCTCCTGCGTCATCCAGGGCCTTAAAACACCAGTACTTGTAGTTGGTTTCACGACAATGTAATCATTGTTGCTTAATAAGTGTAGTTTTCTTAACCTACCACAAATCTATTTTACCCCTCTCTTATTCTAACATCGTCTTTTGCCTTCTTTGAGCTGCAACACTTTCTCATCTTAAAGCCATTTTGTCTCATTTTGCACTTATGGAGGCATATAAGTGTATCTGCTCTGTAAAACAGGATGTCAGGTATTTTGCATTTCTGCCAGCTGTGTTTGAGTGTGCTTTGTTTTTATTGGCCTCTGTCCATACTCTGGACCTGCCAGTTGGGTGGTTTACACGTCAAGACCGGAGAGTAAGTTTAAACTTCGAGAGCGTTCTTCATTTCCAACAAATTGCTCCTGTCATGCAAAAACATTGTGATTATATATTGTTTATTCCTTACGATTGGGAGTATAAACTACATAACATGCATTGGGTTGAAAGTGAGAATGTTTATGTTTTTGCTGGAGCCAGTTTGCATTGAGCATTAGTGCAACGAAAGCTTAAGTGTCTGACTCTACAGTGTGCTCATATAGAAGGACTAAAATGTTTGAATGCAGCAAAGCAGTGCATGGTGGTGAAAGGTGTTGATGACTCTTGGCGCTCACAGCTGGAGAGAGTCCAAAAAAATTCTTGTTGAATTATTTTCTTTAGAAAAGGGAGGCCTAGAGCAATATTTCAGGGGGACTAGAACTCCTACTTACGAAATGACTCTCCAAAAAAATACATGTTCACATCATACCTCACTGCCCATAAAGAAAGAAAGATGTCAATCAAAACTGTTACCACTGGCTTTCTGTTTTATATTATCAAACCTGTTGTACTACAAGGTCACAGCAGCTTGACTGCTTCTTAGCAATGTGAGGTACAATTTCACCTTGCTCCCTGTACCTGAGAATGAGAGGGAGCCATACATTGAACATTATCTTTTGCCTCACTCTAACTGTTTGAACTGTTTTAATAACGTGCGTATGCAACAGAGATCACATTCAATTATGAAAGGGTTTAAAACAGAGGTGAGTTGTGTACCTGTGTGTATTTAGCTTTGTGTGTGTGTTTGTTGCAGCGAGGGAGCATCTGAGGCGATCCAGACACAGCAGGACCTTCCTGGTGGAGAGTGGAACCGGAGAGCTGTGGTCAGAGCTACAGACTGGTAGGTGTCTGTGTGTGTGTGTGTGTGTGTGTGTGTGTGTGTGTGTGTGTGTGTGTGTGTGTGTGTGTGTGTGTGTGTGTGTGTTTGAGAGAGACAGACAGAGCCCAGATGTCTGAGATATTGATGATTTTGACTTTCAACCCAGCAGGCTGACAATGAGGGGCAGACACACCTACTTTGAAATTTCTACTAACCCTCACCTTCTGACTTCTCCTCCCTGCATATAATCACCTCCCTCTGCGTTCACTGTTTGCCGGGCCTGCACAACAAATTGTGGCTCCAACCAAATTTAATCCCTGGTTTGGTTACGACCAGGGATGTGACAAAGTCTTAATATTTTGAGGGGACAAAGGCTAAATGTTACCAGGGTAAAGTCAAAATTTGAAGAAAGTCATAATTTTACAAGAATGGGGTTTTAATATTATAAGAATAAAATTCTAATATGTCTTGAATATGGCTGAATATGTATTGACAATCAAATTCACCCAGTTCTCCGCTTTTAAACAGCTTGTTTTTTCAGTTGAGCCATGACGACAGTCTGAGGAGGCACGCGCCCCAGCTGAACCTTTCTGCTCCCTTTCCTGTCCACACACACACACACACACACACACACACACACACACAGGAAGGACCCAGCCCATGGGACTCTCTGCCTCTGGACTGTAAACAAATCAAAGGACTACAAACCCTGTGTTATCCTCCTCTTGCGTTTTATTCTCTCATTCTTCCCTACATTTGTAATGTTTTGTTGCTCACACTTCTCTCACTACTACTTCTACCTCTCTTGTGTTTAGGGTGTGGTCGGCTAAACTCAGGGTAACCTCGCCAAAATCAGCTCTTATCACTGCACATATCATATAAACACACACGCAAACACACACACGCAGAGGGAGCGCAGCAATCACAGATGCCTGGAGGTTGTTTATGTTTGAGCGTCCACTGGTTGAGATCGTTTCACGCAAACACACACACACACACACACACACACACACACACACTGGAAACATGACATTTAGACATTCGACGAAACTGAACTGACACATTATCATCCACTGTGTGCTCCTACAAATTTAGGAGAAACATCATGTTCTTGCAGCACTGCGTGAAATATTTCCTGGCTCTGAAATCAATTCAAAATTTATCAAAAGTAACAGTTTTTTTTGAAATGCTAAATGTTTCTAAGACAATCCAGGTGTTAGATGTGTGTTTGTGCACTCTTTGTGCAGGTGACAGGTATATTGTTGCAGACTGCGGAGGAGGAACAGTTGACCTGACAGTCCATCAGATCGAGCAGCCACAGGGAACACTTAAAGAGCTGTACAAGGCTTCAGGTACAAACACAATCTGCTGAAACACAAAAATAACCAAATTGCCAACAGTTTTCAAAGCTGTATGTTTTTCTTCCAGGCGGCCCCTACGGCGCCGTCGGAGTAGACCTGGCCTTCGAAGCTATGCTCTGCCAGATCTTTGGCGAAGATTTCATCCAGAGCTTCAAAGCCAAGCGGCCGGCGGCCTGGGTGGACCTCACCATCGCATTTGAGGCGAGGAAACGGACGGCGGCACCGGGCAGGGCCAACGCCCTCAACATCTCCCTGCCCTTCTCTTTCATCGACTATTATAAGAGACACAGGGGGCAGAGCGTGGAGGCCGCCCTGAGGAGGAGCAAGTGAGTGTGGGCTGGGATCGGTGTTTGTGTGTGTGTGAGAGAGGGACAATAAGTGAATGTGTGAGCAGTTTGATTAAACAACAGATTTCTGTAACAGTACAAACGCAAACTCTCTCCTCTGTGTGGGTGTCAGCATGAACATCGTGAGGTGGTCGTCCCAGGGGATGCTGCGGCTGACACAGGAAGCCATGAACGAGCTCTTCCAGCCCACCATCATCAATATTGTCAAACACATTGGTGAGAAAAGACATGTACAGACTACAGGGTTGGGCACACTTACACGCATATTAACAGTATATACACAGCAGGCACTCCAAAAAAAATGATCACCTCTTTTCTCTTCTTTCCTTTTCCCATTATTTTGTTGAATTTATACCTTAATATACCAGAGGATGGAGATGCTGCAGAAATGAGAACATAATCCTAAGCAACTCTAAAACACAAAGGTTTATGGGTCTAAGGAGATGCGTCAAACTTAAAGCAGCGCTAATCAGTTTTGTTTTGTTCTTTTTGGCCACTTGGAGGCAACACGTGAACATCACCTTGTGCTTGTTGACATATTAGCACCTTTTAAACTTGTTAGCAAACAGTTGCTTATTTACAGATCCAGCAGATCCAGAGCACCATTAGCAATCGTTTGGAGTCGTGTCTCTGACAATCTGAAAGTCCATATGTGACTCTTCTTTTAGCTCTGTTTGGGTCGCCACCAACTCTTAAAGATAATATCTGGCTCTTCAGCAGCTAAGTGCTCCACTGTGTTTACCAGCTAGTCGCTCACTTTGTCTGTCAGCTGTCCAAGACAAGACAGTAAAATTGCGGGCCCTAAAACCAAAACGATGAGCTCAAAGAGGCTGAAACCCTTGGTACAGCTGAGGAAAACTGTGGAGTTAAGTGATCATTTTGGATCACTACGAGTGAGTCCTTTCACAGTACAGTCATTTGATCCATTGTTAATATACAGTAGAAGCTTTGCTTAGTGCAGCTTTAACTCACAGTGATGGAAAGTGGGTTTAGCTCCAAACCTCTGACCCCACAGGATGAGAAGTTGCTGAAACTGTGTCACTTAGATCAGTGGTTCTCTAAGTGGGGTCCTGGGACCCCCAGGGTACTTGAGGGGGTTCCAGTTTGTACCCGGCATAAGGGGGGGGGGGTAATTTATTTTCACTATGATTCCATCCATAAGTAGCACAGTGACAGAATGTGTGATTATTATTAGGATTCATACAATTTCTGTAATATCTAAAAGAAAAAACGCTATTAGGGGGGGGACCCTGGGTCAAATGGGGGTCTGTGTCCTCATTTGTGTCAGTTAGGGGGCCTTGACGAGAACCACTGACTCAGAGTACACATCCTAGTTTTTTAGGGGTCAGACCAAACTAAACAAACTGTAGGCATAATGGCTTCCTTAGTATTCTTATTCTAGATGATAGTGGTGTCATTGTTTGGTTTTTGGCCTTGTCAAGACAAAACATTGGCAGAAAAATGGAGAGTGCCTGGTTTAAATCAGTCACATTCCAGCGGTACGTTCAAAACCAAAGGGGCCAGTTTTGTAGCATTTAGCTCTGCAGGCCTTTGTTGGATCATCATAAGACCAAGAGTGAGAGGCAGGAATGGATGTCACATGTATCAAATCGAAGACATACCATGTGTAGCTGATGAAAAGGAAGTAGAAATCAATACTCCCTGGTGAAACATCAGTCAGGGTACACGGATTGTAATTCTCCTCCAGATCCTCAGTTTCTATGTTCACTGATTTACCTCCTTAATTTCTCACACGAACACAAGAACACACTTTGCACAAACACTCCAATGAAGCAAAATGATTTTCAAGATCTTCCACCTTTTTCTCCACGGACAGAGGAACTGATGGTAAAGCCGGAGGTGCAAGGCGTGCGTTTCCTCTTCCTGGTTGGCGGCTTTGCAGAGTCGCCCATGCTGCAGAAAGCAGTCCAGAAAGCAATTGGGCGGACGTGTCGCATCATCATCCCCCACGATGTTGGACTGACCATACTGAAGGGTGCCGTGCTCTTCGGGCTGGACCCCACTGTGGTGAGTGTTCAGGAATACCTGTTGGTCCCGGAGGAGTTTTTTCATGCCACGTTGTAACGTGCTCTCTCTTACAGGTCAGAGTGCGTCGATGCCCGCTGACCTATGGCGTTGGCGTCTTGAACCGGTTTGTGGAGGGACGCCACCCTCGCGACAAACTCCTCATCAAGGATGGTCGCGAGTGGTGCACCGACATCCTCGACCGCTTCGTCTCCGTCGACCAGTCGGTGGCTCTGGGCGAGGTCGTGAGGCGGAGCTACACGCCTGCTCGTCTGGGCCAGCGGAAGATCATCATCAACATCTACTGCAGCACGACGGACGACGTCACGTACATATCCGATCCTGGAGTCAGGAAGTGCGGGACGGTAACTTTAGACCTGCCGGAACCGTTACCACCGCCGGGCGCAGTGGGAGGCGCAGCAACAGGAGGCCCAGAGAGGAGAGAGATCCGAGCGACCATGCAGTTTGGAGACACAGAGATCAAAGTCACCGCCGTTGACATCATGTCTAACCGCTCCGTCCGGGCTTCCATAGACTTCCTGTCTAACTGAGGAGGAGCAGGAAGTGGAGACGAGGAACAGGAATAACTGATTCTAGGGATGATAATTTTAGAAAAAGCGGTACTGTGGGAGTGGGCGACGTTTTTTTTGCATTATAAGAAACATGCAAACATTTAGCTCATTAAAGAAGGAGGACATTTTTATAAAGCTCTCCAGCCTTCACAAGCTCAAGAGTCAGTATCTCATCAACTGAAGGGCAGGGCGCCTTCTCTGTACAGAAAAGAAGACATGAATTTGTCTGGCTTCAGAGAAACATTTGTGTGAACTCTGTGAAAGGTAATGCAAGCTGGTGGCCGAGTGCAACGAACAGATACCTTCCAATAATTCAACCTGTCCAAGGAGTGTTTCAACTTCTGCAGACAGTTTGAGAGTTACCTAGAAAGACTCTACATAATGGATTATAATACCTAGAGTTAAATCATTAATCGTTAAATATGAAGACATTTCCCTCACATAATGAGTTACACAGGTATATCTCGCAAGTTCTGATACCTCATTGTATCCTCTTTCACTATCCACGCATGAGCTATTGACACAACTACCTGGACTGCAGCTTTGTTTCTCCAAGTATGATTTTGCGCCCCTTAGTGGTGAAAAGACTGAACTACAAGCTGATGACCCTCGTGGAAGGAAAAAAAACTCCCTGGATGCATCAAAACTCACTTACGGGTCCTTTACTGGGAAGGACTGTGGTATTAGTGCATAATATGCATGTTTCATATAAAGTAGGTCACCATTCACACATTTTCCCAGATTGTAATTACCTGATCCGATAGGAGAAGCTTAACTCAAGGTCCACTTACTAGCCTGGAGAAAGAAAGTGGACCTTGAGTGAAAGCCCTGCTTCTAAGGTCAAGAATGAACCTTCAGTGTGTAGTAAATCCAGTAAATAGTCCTACTGAAAATCTATTTTTGACCACATGCACCCCTGCCAAAAAAAAGGCTTTAACTTTCCCACCTGAAGACGTCAAACTGTCACGTCCTTTATGGTGTGTGTGCTGTAATTAACTGTATTCACGTTTATGTTCACGTGAAGAAACAAGATGAACAGGAATCACTGTATCATGTTCAACGTGTTCTACCTTGTTTCTTCTGAGTTATTTTCCAATGACTGTGCAGGTTGCAAAATGCTGTAACAAAGCAAATTTATCCTCATTTTATGACCCATGGCCATGCATTTTATACTAAAATAAACAGTTACATTTTTACCACTTGTTTCATGTAGAAAACCTGTCACTGATATCAACACACCATCAGGAATCAATCGATTTGGTCCCCACCTTTGACCAGATATTTGCAATAACTCAGACAATTGTATGATTTCAGCTGTGAATTTATTGATAAGAATGGTCCAATAAATAGTTTAACACAGCGTAACCAGTGAATGGTTCAGAACTGCTCGACATCCGTGCATCAGTGCTTTATCTTCCATGTTACACATCAGTTTGTCACATTACACAAAACCAGATTAGAAATTATGGAACAGCTCCTTCAGGTCAGCGAGGAAGAGCTGACCTGGAGGGGGACAGGAGTGTGTTTGTTTCCAAACCAAGGGGGGAACTGCTTTCATTCTGCTTGTATTTCAGTATCATTTCTTGATAAAATGGCTGCGTGTGGAAAGATGCAGTGCTTGAAATGTTACAGACGTTAAGTCAAAGCTTCAGTAAGAAAAATCTACAGGTGACAAAGAAAACACAATAACTGTCAGCCATCTAAAGAATCGGTCTCAAAATTGCGAGATGAACTTCTCCTTTTCCCCCCGTTTGTTCCACAGAACCTGCCATTTTTATGTGTGACTGGGTACAACACCTCATTTTATCTAGAATTCAAATCCAAACACAGATCAAACATGTCAAGGTACATTCAACACAATCTCTGCATCTATGCTTCAATATAACCTGACTGGTGCGGAAGACTCAATCTTCTATCATCTATCTGCATTTGGATCTCAATGCCAGTTTAAAATGGGGTTTGTTCCGGCTTCCTCTTAGTGAGCATGGGGTCTCCCGCGGCCTCTGCCCCTGCCAGCGCCACCGGGAGGTCCATCCGAACTGCTGCGTGGGTTCTTGATCGTCTCATCTACTGACAGGATGAGGCAGGCTGCCTCCGACGCCGCCGTCAGAGCATTGATCCGCACGATGGACGGCTCCCAGACGCAGGCAACGAAGTTGTCTGCGATGTCCTCGTTGTTGATGTCCACACCGTACCACATACCGCCCTACAGCGAGAGGACAGACGAAGCACACAAAGTCAAATGAAGTCGATTTTATTCCTTGTTCCACTTCTAAATCTGAAGGCCATAAAAGCGCACTTATGCCAAGGGCCTTATTTAAAGTGAGATGATGTGTTTAATGTCCTACCTGGGCGTGTTTGGCGCGCAGTTTGTTCAGGATGTTGGTGGCGTCAAAGCCGGCGTTGTCACACAGCTGTCTGGGTATTATCTCCAGGGCCTTGGCGTACGCTCCGATCAGCAGCTGCTGTTTTCCAGGGATGGTCCTGGAATAGTCCCGCAGGTACTTTGACAACTCCATCTCTATGGCTCCTCCACCGGCTACAACGGAGTCATTCTGGAAATCAGAAACAATAAATTATACCAAATATCAAAACGATCTGTTTCTGTAGCTGCGTTTCCACCAAAGAAACTATACTAAACTATTGCAGTGAATTTCTAAATGGGCGTGTAGAGGCTACTGGCTTTAGAATATCGGCTGTTTTTCTACGACTGCTCCTCTCTTTTCCACCTCCCTTTTTATTTGCAAACCAGTAAATCACAATCAACAGTCAGATGGCCACACAAGTCTTGCCGATGTCTGCCTGAGATCGGCATTAATTGTATTGCTATTCACAGCAGCCAGCCAGCGAACAGCTGATGGAGTTACACTAAATACTGGGTCTGAAGTTTCCATCAGTCAGGAAGTTTTTACACAGAGCCGAAGTCCGTCTCCTCTTCTCCAAAACAAGCGCAACAGCTGATTACAGCAGGTAATAAAGCTCGTTAACATCCCGTTCCTCTGATGCTCAGGCGTCACAGACGTGAGTCCTGCAGCTCTTGTCGGCTGGTAATGTTTTAATAACCTTCCAAACTTTCGCGATTTTATTTTTGTGTTGCTTTCTCTGTGCTGGAGTTATTTTAAGATGTGATGGCTTTATCCAGTTTGTTATTAAATGTGTAGAGAACTTTATCGCGTCTTTTCATTTTTCAATGGTCAAGCAAAGCTTATAGTTTTTCATTATAATCCAATCTGATGTTCATTTATACATTTTGCTCATGGATATTAGTCAATAAATAATGACGTCTGTGCATCGCTTTGTACGTCGTATGTGTCAGCCATCTTGGCAACACCTCCGGGAAGCTATTTCTGACTAACAAGACCAGGCACCTATCTGAACGAATGGGGAGAGAGACAGAACTGCACTTTTACTGGTCACCGGGACATAAAAACTACATGACTGGACCCAGCAATAAAATCTGATAAAAATCGCTGAAAAGGTTTGAAGACTTTGCCTCAAAATAAGGTTTAAAAAGTTTTAAAGCGTTTCTCCTGACTGGTTATACTTTATAATGTTATACTTGACGTTATATTTTAATGAGCCTTCTTGCACTCACTGGAAAACTTTCATGTGTCAACTGACCTTGATGGCTCTGCGTACGATCATGATGGCATCGTGCAGCGATCGCTCCGTCTCCTCTGTGAACTGTTCTGCTCCGCCCCTCAGGATGATGGTGCAGGTCTTCGCCTTCGGACAGCCCTTAAAGAAGTTAAACCTACAGACACAGACATGGTGGGTGTCAGCGTGGTTTACTCTAAGGGTATTCTCTGAAGACAAACGATTTTAACTCGTCACTCTTACCTCTCTCCTCCAAGCTGGACCTCTTCGAAGAGTTCACACTGTCCCAGGACATCGTCTGTCATGGCGCCTACTGAGGTCTGGATGGAGCCACCGCAGGCCTGCAGGTCACATTACACACTATCAAGCTCCTTCTAACATACAAAATTTTGCTGCAAAAAAAAAAAAAAAAAAAAAAAAAAAAAAGCTGCAGGCTCTATTCATTCAACTTACACTGTAAATTTCCAGCTAAACTGAGGCTTTTTGGAAGACCCTTTTCTCTCTCGCCTGTCATTCACCGGTCTTGTGTGTGAGTTTTGCGTGCATGCCGACAACTACATGCATGTTGCGGTTCCTCACGGGTCTATTTCAAGAAGCCAGCTATTTAAAAATGATGAAATATTCTTTGTGTGGTTCATCAACGGTGATAAATTATCCGAATGTCCCGCGAGGTGCGGACTACTCGGCACAACACCGGTGAAGCCGGGGCTCCGTCTCTTCAGCAAGTAAATAGAAATGCTCCGTATTTGTATAGCGCCTTTCTAGTCTTTGACCACTCAAAGTGCTTTTACACTACATCCGCCCATCGAATCTTCGACTATTTGGGGTCAGCCCTAGATAATAGTAAAACTGCAATAAGTGCTTATCTTATTAACAGAGTAAAACATAATTTTATGGAAATACTAATTTTAAAAAAACCCAATTGGTTTAAAATCACATCATCTTCTTCTTTATTAAAAGAGAAACTTGTTCTTTCTGTAAATTAATTTGAAGATGTGTTTAAACTTCCCCTCTAGACATGTATACCCACTGTATAAAAGCTACGGAGCCAGAAAGGGGAGTCCGATTTGATCCGCCTCTGAGCCGGGAACATTTGTAGGAACAGAGCCGGAACGACGTCTGTGTTAAAAGACACAGTCAGCATTGCCGGTGTTGTGTTACACTTTATCGGCCCTTTTCTACACAGCTGGTTCTGGAAAGCTGGATTGCTTTGTGAAAGTACACGTGTATGAGCGAATGCGGCATATTGACAGATATTCTTTCCGCTTTTATTGCGGGATCTCTGTATGAAAGCGGCTTATGAATGCCCCGCCCAGCACCAGCAGCTAGGTCGACAGTGAAAGAGCAGTGAGCATCATTGGAGAGATTCAGCCTCATCCTACACGTTTGGGCCTCACTCAGACGCAGATTCGGATGAGGAGTCCGTTGTGCAGAGGTTAGTGAGTCTAGTGTTAACAGTTAAACATCTGAAGGTCATGTGGTGCACCGACAGTCTGGCAGGTATTCTGGTATATTATTCAGATGTGCGGTTTAAAGAGTATTCAGTCTGTCTCTGTCCTACCATCATGGTCCTCTTCAGATCCTCCTCCTGCACCCTGCCAGCACAGAACAGGTCTCTGTCAGCGAAGTACTGGGTGGCCACGTCACCGATGGGTAACTTGGACAAAACCACCTTGGCTCCTGACTTGTAGATCTTCTCAAGTTTGTCGTACAGGATGTTCCACTCTGCGTCCACAATGGCCTGGTACTCCTGCAGAAACGAGGAAAGAGGGTCAAATCTCTTTCACAGGGAGCCAGGAGGAGAGACAAGCAACATTTCAAGGCTCTTATTTCTGATGCTTCATACCTCTACAGATTTCACGCGGACCTCAGCGTTGTCCTTCTCAGCCTTCAGCTCCAGCTCCACATTGAGCAAAGCAATCTTTGGATTGTCGTAGCGCTTAGGCTGCATCTCAAACCCGGCATAGGAGAAGGTCTTCTTGAACGCAACCCCAGCAATCAACTGGGAATCCTGTGAAATTTTAATATATTAAGTATGACAGGTGAATTTGGAACCAAAAAAAAAAAAAAAAGGAGAGCGGGACGACCTTAAGGTGCAGCTCACTTGGGTCGTTTTTTACTTGCTAACCCAAATTTTCCATGACCGACGCATGAACTTGTTTCTCTAACAGTTTCTGTTCTTGTCGTATCTTGTATTAAGCGATTTCAGAGGCAACCTTTGTTTAAGTGGGGGCAAAGGTAAAATATACAAACCTCAAGGGCTCCTCCCTGGACCTTCTTGATGCCAATCATCTTCAGAGACAGCAGCTCGTCCAGATGCATGACGGCGTCCACCACCATTTTGGAGAAGAATTCCTTCTGACCGGCAATTAGCTTGGAGTTCAGGGCCGTGGCTGCACACTTCTCCAACAGCTGCCTCTGCTCTCTGTGAGGACAGAGAGGGAAACAGTACGTTTGAAAATGTGAAACCAGACCACCTTTAAAAAGCTAAATTTAACTTCGGGCTGAGGACACAATATTAATATACTGCTCGCAGGAGAGACAGTAGACACAGCCGCTGCTATATGGAGAAACTGCTCTGTACTCACTGCTTGTCGTCTTTCTTCACAGAGACAGAAATCTTCTTGACCTTGTTGACAGCGAGGGCGGTGGCAGTGCGGAACGCTCTGATGATGGTCTGAGGGTGGAGCCCCTCCTCCACATATGGCTTTAGCTGCTTCAGGAACTCAGCAGCCAGCAGAGTGACAGAGGTGGTGCCGTCCCCAACCTGACGGTGAGACAAAGGACAGAAAGAGATTATGAAAACCTATTATGACGGTGGTGGTGCCAGTTTAAAGTTTCAATGAACTTGAAACTGTGACATCCTCCCTTAATCAACCACACACACTTCTCACCTCGGCATCCTGGGAGCGAGCGATGTCCACCAGGGTCTTGGCTGCAGGGTGAACCACATCCAGCAGCTTCAGGATGGTGGCTCCATCATTGGAGATTGTGGCCTTACCTGGATAAAACGCAATGACATTTTCTTGGTGAGGATGAATTTATCCTGCAATTCCATTTTTTCTATCTGTGTCTACCCGTCTCTCCTCACCTCTGCCATCCACCATCAGTTTGTCCATCCCCCTGGGTCCCAGGGTGGTCCTGACAGCCTCAGCAATCACCTAAAAACAACCCGACGGGTACATTTATACAGGATTTAAAGCATATTTAGTTAAGCACGTACTACACACAGAAAAACAGACAACCACGGAGAGAAAGGCTGTTTTTCTGACCTGGCAGGCATTGATGTTACTCATGAGCTGGGGAATGCCCTGAGATGAGTCTGTCCCCTCCTTCAGCAGGATAACCGGTGTGGGCTGGAGAGAGAGGGGAAGAGGTTGGTTGACAACAGAACAAAAAGAAGAGACAATTCTTGTAAGCTGAACCACTAATTTAAAATAAGTCTGGTATCCTGGAGTAGTGGCTCCTGGTTATCTACAAAAATGTGATTCCTGCTTGCACAACAACGGATAGTTCGCTTCTTCATGAACATCGGTGGCAACAGCACTAAGCTCGATTGCGACCAAGTTTAGTACAAACGGCAAAAAATACTGCTGTGTGAATGGCAGGTAAGGTGGTTTTCATTTGTTAAAACGATGGCTGAGAAACAGTTCAGTGTTACTGCTCATCATGTTTCTGTGAAATCATATTGTGGTGATAACATCACATCATGTCTAATGTTGTTATTATACCAGGCAAAAACTATCACAAGTAATGTTTTAGTAGGTGTGTAAATACTGTGGAGCATGCTTCATGGTATTAATACTGTAACACGATATCTGAACAACTTATATTGTTACCATTTAAGGTTATAAGTGGCGCAACACACAACAGGCTGAGGCTGGTTACTGTAGCTGCAGGATGCTTTTGTTACCCATCGGACATTCAGCTGTGTGACACTGTCAAAAAGCCGGATGTCTGTTTACAGTCTGCATGTCACAAGTCCTCAGTCGTACAACACATATTACGGTTTCCTTATTATTAGCCAGCAGATTTTGGCAAATGAGTGTCACGGACTGTGTCTGGTCTTTGTCTGCTGCTCTACATCAGTCCTCTTCACTCAGACATGGCTACCAAACCTCTGGACAAATACAAATGCGCAGAGACTGAGCAACACATTTACGTTTACCGGCTGTCCGAGCGAGCTCCTTTACAGGAGCTTACAGGACAGTTAGAAATGTTTCCTATGCAGCCACTCATACAAAGAGGCTAGCTGACTGACAATAAGCTCACTGGCAAAGCTGCAATTACATGCGCAATAAACGCAAAAACAATGACATACTTATAGTTGAAACAAAGTACCCTGAATTACAAGTACAAACTGTAATGACCAGCTAACGGTACTTTATCTTTTCTCAATAACAGCTAACATGTTAGCTAGCATCCCCGTATACGCCCAGCGGTACCTGCTAACCCCGAGCGGCTAACACAGTCTGACAAACGATGCAATCGTTTAAAAATTCCTTTTCACAAAATAACAGCTTCCCAACACCGCCAAGAGAGAGTCATTTATATTAACAATAGTCCGGATGCGGATGCTCGCAGCCAAACGGCAGGATGGACACGGATTATAGGTTTGAGTTTGGGGCATGGATGCTAACTCACTCACCATCATCTTTGCGGTTCCTTCGAGAAGCTTTCCGCCGGCACCCAATCCCACAATTCAGTTCGACATTAACACCCTCCGGGCTGCGTTCACGAACACGATGCAGCGTTTTGTCAACGATATCAATTTTCTGTTGTAGCTTCTTTTGTGCTATGAAGGGTTGCGATTTTCTTGCAACTCCAAATTACATGAACGATACGTTAAATGAATAAATTCAATGCGACCATAAATACAGGAAAAAATAATTAAATAGTGAGAACGATTAACTGATGCAGCAGACTGAATCTAGTCGGACTGAAATGACAGTGTAGTTTTCACTTTATTATCCAGTCTGACATTGAGGTCAAGGATGGATTGTATACGCAGCTCCGCGCCCTGTTATTAAAAGGTGTAACTCAGCATTAGTAGTTGCCTGCTTTCTTTTTTTTTTAGATGTTTGTACATGTGTTTTATTAAATAGAACACAGTAGAGACAGACAGGAAATGAGGGGTGAGAGATGACATGTAACTAAAAAAAAGTCCCCAAGCTGACTTCCAGTGTCAGTTTAATGTAAAAACTTTTCCAATAACTGATATTAAAGGCCTGTCACTTCACACCTGTTGTTTTATTGTTTCCCCTGTCCCGTGTGTTGATGGCCACTACACCAAAGTTTAACAAATTATTTGACAACGATGTTATCAATGTTATGAACCATTATCAAACCCAAAGCCAAGTTAAGTAAAAAAAAAACCTGATTCAGATAGTTGACGGGTCACACCATCTCCACACAGAGAAGGACAGCTGGTGAGGTGGAGAGGGAAGAAGTCTGCAGGAAAGACAAGGGCAACCTTTGACCTTTAAATTTAAATGTAGAGAAATAAATAAAGCTGTACTGGATGAAGACAAAAGAGGAAAATAAAGTTTTGCAAGAACTGTAACAAGGAGGATAAACAATTTATGAAATAGGTTCAGGCTCTTTTTTATTCTTTAATTAGATCATTTAATTGAGGATCCAGTATGGGACACAATCTCTGTACATGCTCACCACATTACACCAAAATGTGTGAAAACATTTCCCTTTTCCTGAGGATGAGAGAGATGAGCCAGAGGTTTGACTGTGTGCCAACAAGGGATTCAAAGCAGTATTCAAATCTGCTAAGAATTGGGGAGAAATGGTCCAATGATGATCAACATTAAACTAATAGTAGAAGATAGAAAACTAGCAGCATAACATGATCGTGTCATTCTTGTCAAGCTTTAGTCAATCTCTAGAAGTTGTACTCATTAAGAGGTGAATAAGCTGATTGATTATCACCAGTTACTGGCTCCTATAGTTAAGGTACAATAGCAAACCTGGAGGAAGATCATTTGTGCATCATTTGAGTCACAATTTATCCATAAATTATTAACATACAGTAACAGTAACTAACCCTTCAGTGTGCAGTGTGAGTGGCTCTCTGAAGACGCTGGGTTTGTTTCAGCGAGTTTACCCTACTGTGTACAACTTCATATAAGTTCTGCTTTAATTACAATATTGCTTTTTTCACCTGAAATAGTGGGAACTGGGCAGTTTTTGTCATGTACTCCTCTAAAGAACAACTGATCTAAAATCACTTATTTTGTAATGTCGTTATTTTTCAAAGATTGGAAGCCCTTTATTGGAAAAAAAAAAATCAATGATACATGATGCTTTGATATATTGGCTCTTTTCCCCACTCACAGTCTAAGCAAATGTCTTTGCAGAGCACCCTTCAACAAGACAAAGCGCTTTACATAAGACGTAAAGAGGCATTAAGATGAGATATAAAAGAAACTATTTATCATTAAAAACGCAGAAATACATTTATTTTTAATAAGCTTAAAAATACAACAATGAAAATTGCTGTGCAGTGACAGTGCAACATATGAGACCGCCACAAAACAAAAAGTGGTCTTTTGAACGCTGCTTTTGTGACGTCTCACAGCGTTGCTGAATGCACGACTCTGATTGGCTTGCGGCTTGTGAGACGCAGCCTGTGGTGTGCTCGATATAGTATCAACGTGTACTGCATGGGCGGAGCTCTCGGTCAGCCCTGTATTCAATGCGGCAGACTCCGCCCGTACAGACATATTCAACACCAAACCACGCGCTCACAATGTTTTACCAAGAAGTCGCGCGGAGTTTAGATATTGTACACATATCTGTGGCGGGAGAGGTTGACCAGAGCAGGTTTTAATAACCTATGTCGTTGTTTTAGTGGTTAAAATAGTGTCCAAATAAAGTAGGACAGCAGAAAGAGTTGTGACAGTGAAGGTCTTTGCTGGAGGACAAAGATGGACGACTTCGGAGTTTATGCAGCGTTTGGAGTAAACGGTCCGCCTCAGAGGCTGCTGAGGTAACGTACGATTAATAATTCATGTTTTTAACAGGGTAGCCAGTGGCTCAGCTTGAAACATTTTCTGTGACCATTATTGTATCTGAACTGCAGCTCAGTCGTCTGTAATAATAAACGGTAACGTATTTGTCAGCAGTGGTTGTCATAAACTTTGCTGCTCCTCATTGGCGCCTATTTAAACTATCCGTTCTTATAGATGGCTTCTCTGTTATTGTCATACACATATGAATAAATACTTCATCCATCCCTCGCCTAGTTTTTCTGTATTTAAAGAGAGGCCAGCCTTTATTTCTTTGTTTCCCCTCCGTGTCTCAGTGCTGACGGGTCCAGCCGAGTGTCTGTTGCAGTCCCCCCGTGTGTCCGCCAGGTGGTGCTGTTCAGCAGCGGGCCGTGGGGGGAGAGGATCTGCGTCAACGCGGAGCTCAACGATGCTGACCGGATCCCCATCACTATCGGAAAACTGACTCCATATAACAAGTAGGCTGACTCTCAGGGGGTTTGTCCCCATGATAACATTATCACTGCTTATTTATATAGTAAAGGTGACTGTGTTGTGATCTTCCTGGGTGCTGTCCCGTGCGTCTACTGTCTCCCACTGCCATCCAGTCTGAACATAAATAATCCTATTCAATGAGTAACCTTTGCTGTGACCCCCAGGTGTCTGTCCTGGGAGCAGTGGGAAGAGGAGACATGGACAGACAGCGTCACACTGAATGTCGCTCTGGAAGGAGGAAACCTGGTAAATATAGATCAAACTGTAAGATTCAGGACTAAATGGCACGCTGGGAACAGAGAAGAAGTGGGTATTCTGCTGTTCCAGCTGACAGCCAAGCCTTGAGACAAGTATAGAAGCATAACATGGTATTCCTTATGGAAATTACAATATTGATGCATCATGGTAGTCAGATCTGCTCCCACATAAAGATTCATGAATCGTGTGTACATTTTCCCCCTCAGGTAAAAGCAGATTGGTCAGAGCCTGAGCTCATCCTGGCTGTGAAGGAATACACACCTAAGGTAATCTGTAAATGATATACTATTAAAAACATTATTAGTATTAATAAAAATGAGAAATTAGCAGTCAGACAACAAAATCTCATATCAAGAGCTTCATGCAATGGTTATATTTTTAATCAGAGGGACTGACACAGAAGCGGGACCCACAGATGAATAATACTTTACTGATGGATGCTTCCCTTCACAGTTTACTCTTTAAATCATATTTCAAGCATTCGCCAAATGATAACTGTCACAGTCTGTTTCTGCTGTCCCAGGACACCATGGCTCCGCTTGCGGCCCGCGAGCTCAATGGCAAGAGGAAGAGGGAGCGGGTGTCAGAGGGAGACGGCGACGAGAATAAGGTGACGAAGAGAGGGGAAGATGAGAACGTGTGTCCAAATGGCGCCGTGGAGAAGACCACACCTGTGCGAAAGGCCAGAGGTCAAACCAAAGGTGGCCAGAAGCTGTTCAGTGGTGGAGGAGATGCAACAAAGATGAAGGGAGCAGGCGAGAGAGGCAGCGTGCTGTGTAAGGAGAATTATACTATGACGATTGTGATGTCAAATCCATGACTTCACACAACTGTGTACCAAATAAGTCAAGATTAAATATTTATGGATGGTATGGTATTTATGCCTGTGTGACGGTATTGCTGAGGATAATTAGTGCCACAGGCACTCCTGTAGCTCGGTGTGGAGGAGTAAACATTTCTTTGTCCTTCCCTTTCTTTTTTTCTTTCAGCTAATGGAGCAGGCGAGGCGCCGGGGATTGTGGGAAGAACGCCTCCTCAGAACGCAGCCAGGACGAAGAGTAGGCAGGCCAAGACTCCCACACACACCGGTGAGTTTGTGCATACACATTACATACCATCCTTACTTTTTGTCATATTCATTCCCTTTTCAGCCCCATCGCTGGCACTTTGATGCACGTCACCCACCTAAAGCTCACGATGTTGTAGGTTACAGCTACCTGGGAAGCATTGTTGAAAAATACAGACAAGAGACTGAAGGCTACTGTCCGGTTTCCCAGCAGTGCACATCAGTTCTCATTCTGTATGCTGTGTGTGCGACGGCTGTCAAGTGACGCACGTGAAGTGATGCAATGCTGCTTGACTAGTGTGTGGTCCCTTCGGCACGCTTGGTGAAGCGTAATCTTCAGGCAGCTGTTCAAATCATACAAATCTTCTCTTGTCCAAAATGTTACAAGTTTATTAACTATGTGCTTCCTGCAGCCCCTCTGGTCAGCCCGTCAGGCCGCTGGGGTCAGACTCTGTGTCCCATCGATGCTCAGACTGCTATTCTGATTGGAGGGCAGGGAGCCAGGATGCAGTTCTGCAAAGACCCCATGTGGAAGCTCTGCACAGGTCAGTCAGCCATGAACAACATTTTGAAATCCGTTTCATACGATGCTCCAGTGTGTCCATGTCAGAGCGAGCGTTCTTGTCTCTGTCCAACAGAGGACATGTCCTGGGTTGCAGCAGAGACTCTGGCAGAGGGTCCAACACCCGAGGCTAGGATTGGCCACACGGTCGTCTACGACCCAGACTCAAAGCGGATCTTCGTGTTTGGAGGCTCTAAGAACAAGAAGTGGTTCAACGATGTTCACATCCTTGACACACAGAGCTGGAAGTGGACCATGGTGGAGGTGTGTGTGTGTGTGTGTGTGTGTGTGTGTGTTTGCTTGTTTTAAGTCCATTTTCACCGCTCTTTGTCTTTCTTCATGTCCTCCTCCCCTCTCTCGTCTCCTTCAGGCTCAAGGGAAGGTTCCTCCTTTGGCCTACCACAGCTGCAGTATGTTTCGAGGGGAACTGTTTGTGCTGGGAGGAGTGTTTCCTCGTCCAAACCCGGAGCCAGACGGCTGCAGTGACTCGCTGTATATCTTCGATCCCCACCTCTCCATCTGGTACCAGCCTATTGTAACCGGCGACACCCCCTCCCCCCGCTCAGGGTAAGATCCACATGGCAGTCCTTTTTTCACAAACAAGCAGACATTTAATCGCTTTATTTTCTCACAGTCTTATCTTTCCTCTGTGTTTCTCTTTCAGTCACTCTGCATGTGTGATGCAGGAGAGGAAGATCTATGTGTTTGGTGGATGGGACACTCCTGTCTGCTACAATGACATGTACATGCTGGACCTTGGTACGCCGCACATCGACTGCTTTTTACATTTACTCATTTGGCAGGTTTTTATTGGAACTTCCTGGTTTCATGCACACGCATATCGGACCGTAGGCGAGGCACATATATCTTGATACAGGTGGAAAGATGAAGCACTGCACGTATGATTGAAACTAAAATTTGCGTTTCTCAGGTCTGATGGAGTTTTCTGCTGTAAAAACAACTGGGAAAGCCCCCTCTCCTCGAAGGTACACAACCCGAACAAAATTATTATCAGAAGCACCGATTATTAAAATGTCTTGTTACCCATGAATGATAACATTAACTTGGATTTTGTGTTTTCTCTTTTCTTTATTCCACTTGTGCAGAACTCACAATGTACACATAAGTGTGTGCGTGCGGTCAAACTGTAAATACAAATAATTCACCTTTAGTTTCCAGTCATGTATCATTTTCCCAAATAAGTTTTCTACAACATAACATCAGCTTAGATGATAAACATTATAAATCAAAGATATTCCGTACAAAGCAAATATCACACGTGGTAGACTATGTAGGCATTAAATATTATCACATGTGTGTAATAAAACTATCAATACAGATTTCTAAACAGTCGCTGTATTACAAACACCTATTAAACCTTGTAAATGCTACACATATTGCATATATGTTTAAATAAGCAATTTAAACCAAATGTCAATCCAAACTAACAAACTAATAGCATTAGGCGTTTAGGCGCTAATCGCGAATGGCGATCTACATAGTGCTTTTATCAATATACTTATAACAACAACATTTGACTTACCACGCTGGGAACATATAGTTCAGATTAAGTGTTTAGCTGTAATTGTTGTAGAACATAAGAAAGTCTGCAAATGAGCATCAACGTTGCTTTCTCGGTCAGTTCGGTTCGGTTCAGTTTTTTTTTTTTTTTACAGCGCCTCTTCTTCCGCGATCCCATGAGCCCACAGAATCAACGTCCTTAAAGGGGCAGCACCCTACATCCCGGTCCCAATGACCCAAACAGGTCATTCAAACAAAGTAAGGGTGATGTGACAATTAAACTAAATCAACTAAGAAGACTGGCTTCTAGGAGGCAGATCTTGTCTGCAGGACGGATGAAGACACCTGCCTGTGTCTTCACTTCCACAGTACGCACAAGTCCGTCTGCACCTGGATAGACTTGAGTAAGCAGACCTAGAGGCCAGTGATTGCGTGGTGTGTTCTCATGCAGAATAAGCACAAGATCTCCTACTTGAAGATTTTTCTTTGGTTGCAGCCATTTTTGGCGTTGTTGCAGTGCAGGCAAGTATTCCTTGAGCCATCTGCACCAGAAGACATCTGCCAGATATTGCACCTGGCGCCATCTGCGTCGGTAAAGGTCTTGTTTTACGAAGGCTCCCGGAGGTAGAGTAGGACCTGAACGAAGCAACAACAGATGATTTGGTGTGAGTGGTAGAGGATCTGACGGGTCGTCTGATAGTTTAGTGATTGGTCTACCATTGACAATAGACTCAACACAGCAAAACAGTGTTGCCAAACCTTCATCATCTGGTGCCTGCTGTGAGAGGACAGTGTTAAGAATGGAACGAACAGTGCGAATTTGCCTCTCCCAAACACCACCCATGTGGGAGGCGGCAGGTGGATTGAAGATCCACTTTACATTGTGCTGTAGAAGGTAATCTGAAATCCTTTGTTGATTCCACTCACTGATGGCTTTCCGCAACTCTCGTAATCCACCGACAAAATTAGTCCCGTTATCCGAACGTATTTCCATGGGTGGGCCTCTCCTGGAGATAAATCGCTGTAAGGCATTGATAAACGAGTCGGTATCGAGGGAGTGTGCAACTTCCAAGTGGATTGCTCTCGTAGTGAGACATGTAAACAAACATCCGTACCTCTTGAGCTCACTGCGTGCCTTCTTAACCAAGAATGGCCCGAAGTAGTCTGTGCCCACACGAGTGAATGGAGGCTCACCTGGAGTCACTCTAGAATCAGGTAAGTCCGCCATTTGCTGGGTTTGTGGCTTAGCTCTTAACTTGCGACACTGTAGACATGACTTGAGAGTTCGGTTAATGACGGTCCGTCCCTTTAGAATCCAGAAACGTTGACGAATTTCTGCAAGTACTCGCTCTGGACCTGCATGACCCAGGCGAAGATGGTAGTGACTGATAATCAGATGAGTGACATGATGATTGTTAGGTAGGATCACTTGATGTTTTGCCTCAAAGGGAATTGGGGCATTTGTTAGTCTGCCTCCCACACGAAGGAGTTGATCGTTTTCATCCTCAAAGGGTTTAAGCTTGAGAAGAGAACTGGGTTTTGCTTGAGAAGATCCGAAAGATGCAGTTTGTATGTAATTGAGAATGGCTGATTCTGCTTGTTGGAGCTCACTTACAGTAAGAGGGTCGGATAGATGCACACTTGTTTTCTTGCGTAACAAAGCCTTGACACGCAACAGGATAGAAGTAGCCCTTTTCAACCGATGCCAACTGGAGTATCGTTCCAGTAGTCTGTCCACTGCATTTTTCATCACTTGGTTTGGTTTTATGCTAGCTGCATAGACCTCTTTGGCTCTTTTAATTTCTGCTTCCTCTGACAAATCCTTTATGATAGGTTGAGCAGGCCAATGTTCCTCCTCCAGTTGAAGAAAGTGCGGACCAGATACCCATCGTTCACTTGACAAAATCTCTCCCATAGTCATTCCTCGAGAGACATCATCCGCAGGGTTAGAAGCAGAGTCAATGTGTCTCCACTGGCATGGTTCTGAACGCTCATGTATTTTTGAAATACGGTTGGCTACGAATGTCTGGAAACGACAATGTTTGTTGTTGATGTACTGAAGTACAATGGTACTATCTGTCCAAAAGAAAGTCTTTTCAATTGGAATCTCCAAGTGGCGCTTGATATGCTGATCCAGCTCCGTAGCAACTACAGCTGCAAGTAGCTCCAGACGCGGTATGCTAATTGGCTTGATTGGTGCAAGTCTGGCCTTTGACATCACCAGCCTGCAGGTGTCGCCAATCCTGATGTATGAAACAGCGCCGTAAGCCAGTTCCGAAGCATCGGAAAAGTGATGGAGCTGAGTCTCTAGCAAGCAACTAGCGGATGTTGGTCTAAGACATCTTGGAATTTTCAGCGCAGACAACAGAGGCAAGTCATTTAGCCATCTATGCCACTGTGCTGCTAAGTCTACCGGTACCTCCTCATCCCAGTCGACTTTCATGCGGCACAACTCTTGAAAGATTGCCTTTGCTTTGAGCACGAATGGACTTGCAAATCCTAAAGGATCATAGATGGAACTAGTAGCGCTCAATACTCCTCTCTTTGTTGCAGGTTTGTCCACTGCCTTGGCATCGAATGTGAAGCAATCTCTTTCAACATCCCAAAGGACACCCAGTGTTCGTTCAAATGGCAAATCCTCCTGGTCAAGGTTGACCTCATGTAATGACTTTGCCCAATCATCAGCTGGTATCGATTTCATCACTTCCTTAGAATTGCTTAACCATTTGGTTAATCTAAAGCCTCCACAGGTGAGTAGCTCACGGAGTTCGGAAGCAAGTTTAATGGCGACCTCCACCGTAGGTACTGACTTAAGACAGTCGTCGACGTAGAAATTTCCTTTCAATGTTTGCACGGTGTCATTAGAGAAACTTCCACGGTTGTCTTCAGCCACTCGTTGCAAGGCAAAATTGGCAGCACTAGGACTCCAGACACCTCCAAAAAGGTGGACCATCATACGGTAATGCTTAGGCGGTTTGTCCGGGTCGTTGTCCTCCCACCACAGGAAGCGAAGCACATCTCTTTCATCAGGTGGCACTCGGACTTGATAAAACATGCTCTCGATGTCCGCGTTCAGAGCAACGGGTTCTTGCCTAAACTTGAGAAGAACTCCTAGTAGCTTATTGGTAAGGTCTGGGCCTTGGAAAACATGATCATTCAACGAAGTACCTTGGTACCGTGCCGCACAATCGTAGACAATACGAACTTTCTCCGGTTTGCGTGGATGTAGCACCGGATGATGTGGCAGGTACCACACGCAACCATCGTCTCTTTTAACGTCAATGACCTCTTCTGCATATCCTTTCAGCAAACAGTCTCTGATACCTTCTGTATACCTTTGATGCAAAATCGGGTCCTTCTTTAACCTCTTTCCTAGAAGGTCTAATCGATGTTTGGCCATTCCGTAGTTATTGGGCAGTTGTGGTGGATGTTCTTTGAAAGGGATCGGTAGAGTATAATGACCATCCTCTTTGACTGCTTGCTTGTTCCATAGATCAACAACTTGCTCGTCGACTACTGACAGCGAGTCATTGTTCACGTGCACTGGATCATCCAGTTTCCAAAATCTTTCAACAGCTTGTTGTAGAGAGTGGTCAGCTTGAATGAAATTGGCCGAAACAGATGTTGAACCATCAGCTACTGGCCCATGGAGTGTCCACCCCAGGCCAGTTAGAATCGCATAGGGTTCGCCTGACTCACCGCAGCGTGTTTCACGGGGGGCGAGTATGTCTGGTTGGTCTAGACCTATCAGCAGGTGAACCTCATCAGCTAGATCAACGTCAGGTAAACTGATTTCATCAGCAATGTCCTTTAGGTGCGGCCACTGGGACACCTCAAGCTGTGTGACCAAGTTGTCTAGACTTATGTTCAGCTGATCCCGACAGAGCACTCCTTTCATCAGGTAAGAGTTTTTTTGTTGAGCATCTTCAACTCGTAGGTCCACCGCTAAGGTGGCTACGTTGAGATTTTTGGTCTCCATGGTGTTCAGTTTAATGTTCATTTTGCATGACTCCAGTTTAAGTGCGTGAACTAACTTCTTAGAAGCAAAGGTCCCATTAGAGCCACTGTCAAGCAAAGCAAAGACATTCATAGAGAATCTGTTGTGTCTGTCTGAAACCACTACGGGCACGATGGGAAGTGCAATCTTCTTTCGACTGGCTTCAATGCACTTTCTAGTGGCATGTGCTTGAATGGCTTGAGGCGGGTCAGCAGTTGGCTCACCTCTAGTAGCTTGATTAGTAGATTGGGCGTTGTCGTCGTTGTTAGAAGCTACAATGGCGGAGTGCAGCCAACTGTTGTGTTTTTTCCCACATCCAGGCACCTTGCATACCCAAGTGCGAGTACAGACTGTGCTGCGATGACCTTTCATGAAACAGTTCAGACAGAGTTGCTTTTGTTGAACAAAGGCCAACCGCTCTTGAACAGACAGAGCTCTGAAGGCTTGACACTGGTTCAGAAAATGTCCGTCAGTGCACTTTGGACACTTAAATCTTGATGTTGGTTTTGGTGTGGATGAGGTGGTGCATTCATTAGTAACTGACACTGTTGCAAATGTCTGCTTTTTCTTATTGAAAGTTGACTTAGTACTTGGTTTAGAACTTGCTGGAGAATTTCGACTGGCAGAGCTAAGGAGATTCCCAAAAATAGGATCTGCCCTCTTTTCAGCTTCTGATTGAACAAGACTGACTATGTCATCTAACTTTGGCAAATGACCAGACTTGATGATCTCATAGTTTATTGTGAGCCACCTTTTCTTTATGTCTTCAGGTAGCTTTTCCACAATTTGTAGCAAAGTGCGTCCACCGTTTAGCTCTTCCTCACACTTCATTGCCTTTAAAGTGTCTCGGCAGCTGCACAGAATGTCCGCGAAGCTTTGCAACTGCTTGTTGTCTTTAATATCTTTGTGATTAAGCACCTTGTCAACCCATGCTTGTGATATTGCATATGGATTGCCAAAACGTCTCTTCAGAATAGCCATGGCTTCAGCATAGCCCAAGCTAGAGTTGGGGTTGTACAAGCAATGTGAGATAGCATCTCTAGCTTGACCGACAGTGTACTGATGCAGGCGAGTGAGTTTCTCTTGATCTGGCACTGTCTCTTTATCAATCACAGAGGAGAACAATCTCATGAACTGCCAGTACTTTAAAGGTTCTCCATCGAACTTGATGATGTCAACTGGTGGTAGATGCATGGAATCGATGTGTGACTGATATTGTTGCCTTGACAGGTCTAATAGTTGGCATAAAGAATTCTCATTCTCTGCTGAAAGTGAGGAACGAAAGTTGATGGATGCGTTACCTGAGACAGGAGTGGAAAAGTCTTTATTTATTGTTGTTAACTCAGCCTTTCGACGGTTTTCCTCCATCTCAGCATCTTTGAGTTTCAGTAAGCCTTTCAGACCATCCATTTCCAATACTGCATGTTGAAGTTGTAAGTTAAACTCTGCACGAAGGCGTTCTTCCTGTCGAGCAATAAGCATGGAAAACTCTTCCTTTTCTTTCTGTCTTAGATTTTGTAGCCCTTGAAGCTGGGTAGACAGCTGGTCTACTGAAGACATTGGAGATTTAACGGCTTCATCAAACTTTGACTCTTCCTCTTGGAAATGAAGTGCATCTGAAGATTCTATGTTTGGATCCTCCATTGATGGCTTAAAGTCGTCAAACCAGCTCAAGACTGTGTGCTGCAAGTCTTGAACATCACGCAGGACTGATGTTAAATAGCCCTTAGAAGCATCAACGTCATCATCGTCTTCTAATGATTTATGGTACATGTCATGAATCTCATTAAAACGCATAACCGCCTCATCCAAAGCAGGAAGTTTCATCTCCACTTCTTTGGGTTGGTTACAGTTCATAGAAGTTGTAATCTGTGTCATCAAGCGTGTCACTGCAGCCTTTGCACTTCCACGTTGACGCTTGAGACATCTTTGTTGTTGATCAGGAGTAACACTTGTTTCTGAATCTTGGTCCATGTTGTCATTAATCTTCTTAACTCCTCGTGTTTGACTTTAATGTTACCCATGAATGATAACATTAACTTGGATTTTGTGTTTTCTCTTTTCTTTATTCCACTTGTGCAGAACTCACAATGTACACATAAGTGTGTGCGTGCGGTCAAACTGTAAATACAAATAATTCACCTTTAGTTTCCAGTCATGTATCATTTTCCCAAATAAGTTTTCTACAACATAACATCAGCTTAGATGATAAACATTATAAATCAAAGATATTCCGTACAAAGCAAATATCACACGTGGTAGACTATGTAGGCATTAAATATTATCACATGTGTGTAATAAAACTATCAATACAGATTTCTAAACAGTCGCTGTATTACAAACACCTATTAAACCTTGTAAATGCTACACATATTGCATATATGTTTAAATAAGCAATTTAAACCAAATGTCAATCCAAACTAACAAACTAATAGCATTAGGCGTTTAGGCGCTAATCGCGAATGGCGATCTACATAGTGCTTTTATCAATATACTTATAACAACAACATTTGACTTACCACGCTGGGAACATATAGTTCAGATTAAGTGTTTAGCTGTAATTGTTGTAGAACATAAGAAAGTCTGCAAATGAGCATCAACGTTGCTTTCTCGGTCAGTTCGGTTCGGTTCAGTTTTTTTTTTTTTTTTACAGCGCCTCTTCTTCCGCGATCCCATGAGCCCACAGAATCAACGTCCTTAAAGGGGCAGCACCCTACATGTCTGTTCAGATCTGTAATCTTTATTTATTTATTTGATCAGAGAGTTCATCAACATTTTGCCAATTTTAGACGTGTGTGTGTGTGTGTTCCAGCTGGCATGGCAGTGCCGTGCTCTCAGACACAAAGTTCCTGATCCACGGAGGTTACAACGGAAACAACGCTCTCAGCGACACTTTTGTCTTTGACATAGGTGAGAGGTAGCTTACAAATGCACACAATTACATAAAGTGTAGGGAGAATCCTCGTTGACCTGAAATGATGATATATTGATTTAAATAAAAGATTTTAAATCTAATTGTTCAAGCTCCTGTCAGTTCAGTTGACAGAAATGACGCAGTGAATCTGGTGGCCATGTGCAGTATAGGGGTATGTAAGGTGATGTAGACTAGCATCACTTTATTAGGGCTGCAACTAACAATTATTTTAATTGTCGAACTTGATTAATCTGCCAATTATTTTCTCGATTAATTGTTTGATTCTATAAAATGTGTAAACAGTGAAAAGTGGCCGTCACAATTTCCTGGAGCTCAACGTGACATTTTGTCATGTTTTGTCCGACCAAAAGTCCAACACCCAAAGATTTTCAGTTCACTGTCATAGAAAACTAGAGAAACCAGAAAATCTTTGTATTTGGAAAGCTGGAACCAGCGATAAATCACTATTTAAACAGTTTGACTGTTTGATTGACTAATCGTTGCAGCTCTAATTACGAAAAGAAGACATTATTATATTGTTAAATTATGGACACTAATCACTCTCGTCTTTGTTTCACTGGTGCAGACACCAACAGCTGGACGGAGGTGACGCTCCCGCAGCTCTCTGTCCCCAGGGCGGGGCACTCCATCATCACCATGAAGACAGCCGGACACCACCGTTTCTCAGAGGAGGACGAAGATGTTGACACAAGCTCCGTCAACCGAACTCTGCTGGTGTTCGGAGGCGGAGACAATGAGGGCAACTTCTTCTCCGACCTGACGACGCTCTCTGTGGAGGAGCTGCTCCAGGCTATTTGAAGCGAGTGAGTCAGAGGTGAATCCTTACTCGCTGACTGGATGTGAACACCTACAGACTGACTTTTATAATTTATATTCCTATTGTTTGTCTTTTGTTTCCTTTCGTTGTTTCTGCCCTCTCTTCTTTATGGTTTTTAAAGGGTTTGAAATGTTAGTATGGGAAAGTTTATCCTCAGGTAAAATGTATTTTTATTTTTGATTAATTTAACAGTGCCTTTTCTTTTACTTCAGTAGCCCTGATATTTGGACCATGTTGTCTCTGGATAGCTGCAAGTGCTATAGTGGGGAGAAAAAAAATCACAATTCATGTTCCTGTGCTGTTCCGTTTTGCACTTGGCTTCTGTCTTTACTTAATAAACATCTTGTTTTCTACACCATCTTTTAATCCAAGTCCTCCTTTAAAGTTAACATTTAGTTTTTGTTCACGTGTGCAGAAGATGTAGAGACTCTTAAACCCACTCAGACTCAACTTCAGAGTCCGGATCCATTTGCATTTCCTTCTTAGTCGGGCATAAAACTGCAGTGCAAGTTTGTCAAGCTAATGTAATTTAAATGGGGGTTGATGCTTTTTAACAGGAAGGCCCATTAGTAACATCCCTGGTAGCCCGGCACCAACATGAGCTAATGTCAGACTATCAGTAACGCTGACGTTATCATGGAGCCAGAGCTAAATGGAGACATTTTAATAAAAGATTAGCAGAGCTCGAGAGGGATTACCTTCACTTCTGCCGGGTTGCTGATAAATGGTGTCATGAATGTGGACAGGTTTCTTTTACTTTCATATTTTCACTGGATTATACAGCCAACCTCCCTGGTAACAGGAGGTTCACACAAGTCCGTTAATGCCCACTTATTTAATGTACGAAGGTAGCGGCCTCCTCCCAAGCAGAAATCAAACTATTAAAAAAGTGTCTTGAGTCTGCAAGATAGTCTTGCATATGATGGGTATCTTTTTAGGCTGTAATCAATATGATTACATGTGACTACTCTCAAAAAACTAAATAAATATACAGTAGTGTTTCTCCTCCAGAGGTCAGTGAGTTCCCAATGACTTCCTAGAAAGTTTGTAATCTGGTGCTCATCCTAGTGAAAATAGACAACGCGTCTGAGACAGATATTTTAGTTAGAGCTCAGATTGTTGAGTTTATAAAGCATTTGTTGATTTTACAGAGGGAACTCCATCAATCTTCATCACTCTTCACTGCAGCCTGTGTTTGTTTTTGTTTTTTTCGTGAGGATAAAGACGACTTTCATGGTGAACGTTGCCACGGAATTGTTCAAACCACAGATTGTGAACAGCATGGAAGTGGAGGGAGTCCTGCAGCCGCGAGGTGACTGGCCTCCTTGACCTCAGCAGAGCCAGGAGAACCCAGATAAAGATGGAGCAATCCCGGGAAATGACATAAGCACCCGCAGAAAACCGATAGAGCCTGTTACACTGGCTGCTTGGTCGAGGCGAACAAGTCAACATCAAAACGCATCCTTGCTAGAGAATTTAAGACTTTTGTGCTTTTTTTTTTCTTTGTGTCTTACTAAAAACCAGAAAATCAGTTTCCACATGTCCCTTTAAGATGTGTGGATACGTGCCTTTTCCTACTTGATTCTTTCATTGCAAGATAATAAATAATGCAGTATACTTAATGGGATTAATGTTCTCTTAATACCAAAGTACATGTTGTTGCACTTAACTGCGATTGTAGCACAGCCTGTGCAGATTCAGCCTATTTTTGGACTTCTTTAGTAGTTTTGCCCACGCTGTGAGTCAGTACTAAATAGCCAGGTTAAGGAAGGACTGTTGCCCTTTCAGTCTGTTAGGCCATTAATTAGGCAAAAGAAAGATTTTCCCTCCTTTACACTGACTAACTTTATTTTGTTAGTACTTTGTTCGTGTACTCTACTCTCCTCTGCTTCCCCTGCTTGTCTCGTCTGCTATAATCATGTCTGGTTCGTCTTGTCTCACTGTGTTACCGTGTAAATGTCTGTCAGCAAGTGCTCCTTACTAACGATACACATTATGGGTTGGAGATGTTGTGCAGTCGTGGTTCCTGCCTCTTTTGTTTTTTGTTTTTTTTGTCTGACTAACCTTTACAGTACTTAAATCATTTAACGCTGTTATCATACGTATAAGTTTATTATCACTTTATCTCTGTGTTTGGACTTCTCTGCTCATTTTAATTATTTCTTCTCACGCTCCTAACAACATTACCTGACTGTGAGGAGACCTTGGTCCTTTACAGTTCTCCCTTTAATTTCTCTGGATGTTATAGACAAATTGCTGCAAATCAATGACCATGGCTGCCTTATGGCAATATACAATTTATGGTCCACCTGCACAGGTGTTTTCACTTAATGTGCCTGATAAAACATATCTGAAGATCAAGTTTTCAATTGATTTTTCATAAAGTTTATTGTATCTCATGATATATTAGTGTGATATACAGTTACATGAACTATGATTACCCATCCCTAATGTACAAATGCATGCAACTATAGTTATAGTTATAGATTCACCTCCAAAGATCAACTACCATAGTCAGAATTTAATTTCAAGTTATTTTAATTGATGACAAAGTAATGTAAGTCACTATTTTTTGTGCAATAAAGTGGACTCACCAGTAAGTAAATATCCTTATACACAAATAAAAGGTGTGGTGAGTTTGTAAGTAATATGGTTTTATTATAAGATTCTTATACTATGTCACTGAAACAATCAGAAAAACATAATCCCTGTGCTCACTTTTGCTCACTAAAATGTGTTGTAGGGCAGCTGTTGACAAGCATCATGTGATGAAAAGTCTCTATGTTGTAACTGCTTTAATTACTTCCAAACATCAATAATGGGCTTACTGAGAGGGACATGGCTGATAACAGCTTGGAGGTTCGTGCTCCAGTGATGGAGAATTTGGGTGCTGTTTGACTCGGATGTCACAGTAATCAAGACCTGCACATTGCCACAGAGTTACCTACAGTTCTCTTGTAGAGATGAACTGAAATGCAAAAAAAAGGGGCTGGAAAGACAGCCTGACAATGATGTCTCAACAGTCTGGCGTTGTGTACAGGATGCCAGCCTCTACAGAGAAAAATTATTGGCTACATATTAAAAATAACTGTTATTCCGGCCTCAATCTGGCCAGATCTATTTGGCACCCTGAGACAGGAGATAAAAAGGCTGTTCATCCAATGAGACTTGAAATACCCTCAAATCAACTGCAATAAACAGTCTGAGGTTCAGCCTCCTACTCAGAGAGGCAAAGAAAAATAGGAGTGTGGCTGCCAAAAGATGCGTTTTCATCAAAATATTTATGGGTCACACTGCAGGAAATAGTGTCAGGATAGGCTGTGGGATGGATGGATGGATGTAATATATTGAGGCATCCTGCAGATGGGGACATTTCAGCACATTTCCCCCAGCGACCAAGCCAGACTCTTGCTCTAACAGGCTCATATAAAATCTTAAAAAATGTAGAGTCAGTGAGTTCATGTGGTCATGAACATGACTGTTTGACATCCGCCCTACTGGGATCCACCATCAAATTGGACATGCTCCAGTAAAGCTGAAAAAAGGAAACAGGGGACATATTCTGCCCAGTGCGTTGGATTGGAGAGAGGCCCATGATACATTAACTGTGTTATTGATGATATGGATGCACTTTTATGCACTTAAATCAGAGGTGTTTGTCTCCTGTAGCAGTGTATATGCCCCTGAGTCCACTCCTTCCATCATCAGGGATGTGAGTTTTCCCCTTGATTCATCGGGAAATCCTGCCAGTTGGATGCTCTCCCAGTCATTGCTAACAAGCCTCTCATATCCCTTCATTTCCTGATGTCTTGGCATCGTGCAAATGGTGAATATTTGTTTTTGTGACTACTAGTCTCTGCAGACCTCCTGATGGACAAGAGTTCAGACATCACTACTTCCAATGGCAGCCACACAGTCTCCACGGCTGTTGCTAAGAAACTTGAAAATGTCGACGCTTAGCAGTCAGCATCTCACAGTCAGCCTTATGGGCACATTTACAAACGACTCTTCAGTCTCACAGCCGTGATTGCAATGTGGGACCCGTAATTCAGCCACGCTAGAGAGTACACGAGTGTAGTTTAATAATTGGCTTTGGCCTCAGATATATTCAGATAAAAAGGATGGGAATAACAGGGAAGTAAACTATATTTTCCACCACAATTCTGTAAATGTTAACAAAAGAAGGAGGTGTTTTATGGATTTAAACTACCCTTCAACCAGAGGATACCCAGTGTCAGCAAAGATCACCCTGCCTGGGAGCATGGCATTCTATCACTACATGGTGTGCTGCTCTTATATATGGCCCCTAAGGAAATCCTATTAGTTGGACAGGAACTGCCACTTTATAACTAGCAGTGAGTGAAAGAGCACACAGAACTATAAACTGTAAAGACCCCTCAGATTCTTGATAGTCTTTCATTTCTTGAGTACAAATGTGAACATTTTCTTTTTTTTTGTTTGTTTCATCTCTTGAGTAACTCACATAAATTTAAAACTACTACCTGGGCAGGATTCTGGATTAGCTGAGGTATAAAGATAAGGAAATTAAGTGTGTGACAGCTGAAAGGAAATGATGCGACTCCATTGTAGAAATATCTGGCAGCTCCTGAAGCATCACCTGCAGAACCCAGTTTCCAGAGAGATAGGGAAAGAGGAGAGAGAGCACATGTTTGTAAATGAAACAAATCTTGACAGACTTGAGCTGCTGTTTTCTTGGGTGCTGCTGGGGGAGCCTCCCTGAAAGAATGCAGCTCTTTATTCATCCTACTGGGATGTGGATTTTCTGTAGACCCCAGTAGGTTGCAAGGAAACAAATGACCAAAAAAGCAGCTGACACACAAGTGAACTCTTAGTTCCCCTGGGGCTGTGGGATTCTGTCTTCCGAAAACTAGGGTACATCCCTGGCAGGATGTCATGTGAAGCAAACACCTGCCATATACCGACCTGGAGGAATCGCGGTCACCGGTGAAGGCCCGGAAAAAGCCGAGTAGAGACGAACGCTGAACGAACCCCCTCCCTCCCTCCCCATTCCTCCTCTTTCAGTCGTGGTGCAAGCAGCAGCCATGTTGCCGTGAGCTTGTTCCGGTATCAGGGCAGGATCGTGCGCATAGACTGCATTCGGGCGCAGCTCCTCGCCTCTCTCCCCCTGTCGCCCGTGACACGCACCTCCTAACAAGCAAACCTCAGTTTACCGATAATGGATTTTACTACTTCATGATTCCTCCTTCAGTCGACTGGTTACGGAAACGGCAGCAGTCGGTGTACCGACAGGACGGACTGGTATATCGCCACACTGCAGTGCAGCACTGGTGAACGACCTTATTCCAATCACGCAACACAAGGAAGAGCGCCGGTGATTTCCGTGGATTTTGAGTTTCGTGGGTCGCTCTGTGGCAGTCACTGCCGCGGCGGCCACAGGAGGAGAAGCTAACCTAGCTAGCTTTTCTCCGAAAGAAACAGTGAATTAGTTCGCTACATGGGCTAATATTGGCCAGTCAGTTAACGTTAGCTAGCGCAGCAAAATAATTCGTGTTTCTCCACTGCCATGTGACAGTTTTACATGGTGCTGCTTTTATTTTTGAACACCTTACCCTGGATATCTCGCTGGGAACATTTCTGAATTGTTTTGTGTGAGTTGGGAAGGTCGAGACCTCGCCGGGAATAACTTTGGCCTGAAAGTTTTGTAGACCTCAGACCTGGTTTCAGCCCTGAAAGGAAACATCTCTGCCACAGAAAGAGAAAAACAGGCGTCGACAGTGCGTTATGAAGACGAAGCTGGATGAACGTTTGTTGTAGTTCGGCGTATTTTCGGCGACAGTCGGCGCTTCCTCAGACGTTAGTTAGCAACCTTACAGGTTAGCATGCTAGCAACCTAATTGAACCTTGTCTTGTTCATTACAACCGTTGCTCAACTTTTCTTCAAGCTAGCCCAAGAAGCTAGCTGACCAAAACGTCACGGCATCAGGCTGGTATTGGCTCAGTGGGCACCGTCGACGCTGATAAATGTTATTTGGGAACTGAATGTTTTCACACCCTGACCGAAGCTAAAGAAGGCGTTTGTTTTTTCCCGTTTTGTGCTTGTTGTCAACATGGGACGTGCCGTTGCTGCTAGCTAGTTTCTAGCTAGCTGGCTAACTCGGCTAGCCGCTGATGTGGGATTCAACTTGTTGATTCACAGGCTATCTGTCGCGCTGCTAGCTGGCTAGCACTGGACATCTGTTGGAAAATTCCCGTCTGCTGTCAGCCAGACTGGTTTTAAATGTACAATAGACACTGAAGAATCGTTCTTGTTTCACTGCTCCTTTCCCCTTTTCTGGCAACTTAAAGACTTTCAAAAATGTCAACAAGGATCCCACTGGTGCAAGTCATTGAAAACTCGACCGGACAGGTAAGATGCACCTCTAAGATAATTATCCACAATCATTTTATAGTTGATATTTCCCCATAAATCCGCGTTAGTATACCATGATCTGCTGTAGAGAGTGGCCATGTTTGGCCCTCCAGGGTTGTCTCTTTGCTTTTTCTCTGTTGTCTTTGCCACACAGCAGTGATTCACCAGCTTGCCTACGCACTCACACTGGATTTCCCACTCTTTACAGAACATAAAAACAAATTTAGGTTTCAGTTTAGTCTATGTGTTAGGGCATGTCCTCCCATGACTTTACATTACTTTGACCTGTTGCAATTCAGCCAACCCTGTCGGCCAGTTCCACATGAATTGCGTATAGTTGACAGCACAGAAACACAGCACCCACATTTTGGGCTACTGCATTATTATTTCACCAGAATACACGTGCAACAAGTGTTCTTGATGCAAACCTGACCTTCGAAAACACTGAATTCATTTTTAAGTGTCAAAACAATCAAGTGCTGTTTGAGAAATTCACTTTTTCTAAGAGTTGTTGGAGATACTTAAGTGATTCTGTTTTTAGTTTATATTAATAATTACGACTTCTATAGTGCAAGAATGGCCTCACCTTCAGTGAGGGTCTCTTGGTGAGAAAAAAGTTAATGTATTGTGTTTGTGCTGTCTTCACATTGGAACCTTGAATTTACCAAGGCTGTAAGTGTTTTGGGTACAAATGCAAACTTGTAAAAATTGTTGATTGATTAGTGAATGCATTGTTCACAAAGGGGTCCAGAGCACTAAGTAGAAAAACACTTCGGTATTGTGCAAAGAAACTCCTCGGCTGTCTTCTGTAGATTATTGTTAGAAGACTGGAACAAAGTCCTTGTTTCTGAGACTACAGTATCTGTCTTAATATTGTTGACAGTTTCTTCTGTAGATTCACTGTACCCATACTCACATGAAAACCATTATAGTCTCCAATACAGATCATGACCAGCATTACTTGGGCAGCTGTTGAGAAGCATCATGTGATGAAAAGTCTCTATGTTGGATGGAAAAATGTGCGTGTTGACAGGGTAGCAAGCAAATGATGTCCACACATGTTTGAAGCTAAACCCATTTCTATATTTGTGTTTTGAGCATCTATATGTATGTGAATGTAGCAGTGGTGAGAAGTTGAGTGTAGCAGCATAAATAGAGGAAATGCACATGTAAAGCATTTGGTTAAAACCTTTTGCTAAACACAAGTTCATAACACTGTCAGCGCATATTAAATATAACATGATCAATAAGGAGGGTGTTTGTTTTTTTTTGGTACCTTTTTTTTTCAATCTGTCCCAATAGCTGAACCCTTTTGTCAAACTGTCTGCCTGAAACATTGAAAGCCCAACCTAGGTGTGTAAACTGCAGCTGCACAACCAACCAGACTGCAGATACGCTCTTGCCAGCCGGTAGGGAAACCTCTTGGTGTTGGAGACTCAAAGGTTAAAAGATTGAGTCTGTCTTCTTGTACAAATAAAATGCTGACGGAAGTTGTCTGTTGACATCCATGATCTCACTGCTTGTGTCGGGTGTGTGTGCGCTGGCTTTTCTCACACAATGGATCACTGCTTCCATTAGAGTGTACAGGAAAGCAGATCGACCGCTAGGTTGGTATGTAGGTAGTATGGGTACACTACACGCTCACACAGAGTGATACATACATATTCTTACAGGACTACACCCTTACCTGGAACAGAGGTCATAAACAATACAGTTGATTATATAAGTCTTACACTGTGGCAGCCTCACACACACACACAGGGCCTCTCCATATCCAGAGGGATTTTTAAGGTTGATGTCATAGTTAAAGTTACTTGCAAGCGTACTCATTACTTAGAATACCTCGTAGTGTGCAGCATTGTTCCACAAGCCACATGAAGGTCGGTGGGAAATATACGTCTGCTTTGATAACTTTTCACAGTTGTACACTCAGGCTTGAAAGAGCATAAAACCACAGTGTAGAGTAACTCTCAAACTGAACTTCCTGGTGTGCCTTGTTTGTGTTGTGTTGAGTGTCACTTCTATACCAATACTTGTGTTGTTATGCTGTAGTGCTATTATTGGTCTGAACGCACCCTTACTCATCCCGCAACACCAAGTGACGATTTAGCGGTGGAAGAAAAATGTTTGGGGTCATGGCAATTCCTTAACTGGGTTTGTAGGCAAAAGGTCACAGATGAATACTCACACACAAGGCCAGGTATAGAAAGCCTTCAGTGTCAGGTCTCAAGATGTAGGGCAAAATGGCACCTGGACATCACTCTTTTGCTGTCAAAGACTTAAGTATATAGTTTGATGTGATTAGCCAGGCTGTGCTGCCCAGTAAAAGAAGGTATTCTCCCTATATCCTCACCGTGTATCTGCGAAAAGACAGCTGGACTGGAAAAGTTGTTTATTGACGTATTGTACATCAAGTTAGCCTAATAGTGGTTTATTTGCCTTGGAAAAGAGCTGTTAAATGTAGAGAAGTGATTTTTTTTTTTTTTTTTTTGATTTTTTTTAATGTTTCTTATGGTGTGAAATGGCAGGCATGTTGAGTGGTTTTGATCTGGCATGTTGCTCTCTTACACAACGTCTGGTACTGGCTTTGAGGAACTTATTTGAATATGACTCCATTATCAGTGGGACGCCAGTTCAACACAGAATACACAGTGATAAAGCTGGTTTATTAAAATATAAAGCAGAACGTATTTTGTGTATTTTAACTTGTGTTGTCAACATGTTTGCTGTTGGGCTTGGGCGGTGTCATGGTATTACAGTAGAACAGGGGTATTTAGACATCAAAAATACATGCGCTCCTCTTTCTATTAATCTGATATGGAGACACTATTGAGGTGGTACATTGTAGTGTACGCTCTCAATGTAGGCTGGTGACGCCATGTGAAACTGCCATCATTGTGACATCGTCATGATAACTCCCTTCACTTTTCCAGCAGTTGGTAAACAACAAACACACACAGGAGCTTTAGCTGCAGCCTTTATTCATTGACAAACTGTAACCTATACTCTACATTTACCACTATATATAATATCATTACCAGCAGCTTGCCTTAAATTGTTTTTGTTTTTTACACATACTGTCATATAACTGTATATGTATACCCCAATGTCAGGATGGTACAGAGGTGTGAAAAAATAGATACCACCCAAGCCTAACCTGTAGCTCTGCACTCTTTGTCCACTTCCTCAGACATGATCTCTTGATTGTCTGATTTCCTGTTTTACAATGTTCCCTCTCTATTCATTGAGTCATATCTGAACAGACAAACTAATGCAGCCAGAAATACTGGTCTGCCTCTTCAATTGTTTCTTCATCCTCCGTTTCATTGTTTGAGTGGTTGCGCACTAGCTCAGCTAGCTGGATCCTCCCCACATGGAGGTGTGATGGATTTGAACCAATAATTTGTCCAAGCTAGACATTTCCTCATCGTAGAACTTGCGTAGAGAAAATAAGAAGCTAGATTTACTACATTTAGGACTTGATTTTAATGTTTACATTGGGTTTACCCATGTTTTATTTCTATTTCCCCAAAGGAAATAGAACAAGGAAATAAAGCATAAATCGCAAGATGGCTCGCTTTACCTTTCTGGTGTATTCCAAATGGCACCACCAACCTTAGTCCTTTGGTAAAGACGAGAAAAGTCCCCCCCCAAAACTAAGAAGGCCGGCTTAGGCTGTAACAAAAATTCCTGGAAAGGTTGAAGTTGCCTTTCCAGGATGATTGTGCAGTCTTTTAAAAAAAAAAAAAAAAAAAATTTAATGATTGCTTTAATTTAATTCTGCCCAGTCTAAACCTTGATGGTCACTTAACTTGCTGAGCATTGTCCTGCTACTTTTATCAAGCAGGGTAAGTGGGGGTGGGATCTGTGGGGTTCCTGAGGGATGGAAGGACTGTTTTATTTGTAGGTCTTGGTACCAGATGGGACTAAGGAGAATCATCTCAGTCATTTCATACACCGCAGCTGGCAGAAGTTCAATGCAAAAGCCTCAACATTCTCTATTAAACACTCAAAAGTGTTGGTTATCATGTTAAAACTTACCTGGAAAATTAAAGGTGCCCTGTAGTTATTTTGTAAACAACCAGAAGGTATGTTTGCATTCAGTGTTTGTCTACAGAATGAAGCCGAACTGAAGCAAAGCCCAATTTTTAAAAAGGTAAAATCTTCATCAAATAATCATCAATATATCAAAAGTGAGGCATGAGAAATCCCCAACAGCATGCTTACGAATGACCTCTGATTGCCACTTAATGTTTTCAGATTTTGTATTGTTGGCCTGAAGAGATGTGAGGGCCAGTATCCATATATTTGTTAATAAATTTCAAATCATACCATTAATTTATTATCATAATCATAACGTTAAGTCATTCCTCCGCCCTGGTTTCCTGTCTATTCCAGTTTGACCTCTGTAACTTGCCGCAGGACTCTAAAACGATGACGCTTGCAGGTTTAAAATGCCGTCGAGCACGGCAGCAACAGAAGACAAAGCAAACACAGTATTGGAAATATGAGGTTAGCTGAGCACAGTTTGATGTATTTCACCTGACACCTTAGGAGTGTGAAAGCCTGGCAGAGAATCTCCCAGCAAGCTGTTGAGCTGGAAATTCAATCTACATGAGAGAGAAGCACAGACTGTGTACTGACACAGGTATGTTGGTGAAGGCGTTTTCTTTAACACGTTCACCTTCTTTCCTGTCTTCATTCATGCTCCCATTGAGTGAGTCATCTTGTAAGCAATCTATAGCTCACGCTAACACGCATTGCTGTTACGCCCAGGAAACCATAAATTATGCCTCTCTCCTTACCAGACCAGTCACTAGGCAGATGAACAGAAAGACAAAGCTAGCCAGGGCCCTAGCAACAGAGAAGCTGCCACAAACGCGCACACACACAAGATCATTCACTCCATCACGTTCACATTTGTTCTTGCCGGCACACATACAGTCCCTCATCTTTCCTGCACACACAGTTGTGAATTGGACTGCAGTTATGTTAGG